GCGGGGGGGGGGGTTTGGCTGATACCAAAAGCAGGGTCCAGCCGGGGCTGAGACCAGAAGAAAGCACTTGAGTGAGATGTCAGATGGAAATACCGAGCCGTCTCTTAGTCTTCTTCAGCGGCGGGCGCTAGGGGCTGAGCTGCGCCAACAATAGAATACATGCATCTTTTTTTTTTTTTTGACTTCACCCGGGGACTGCGTGGGTAGATGTCAAGACGAATGAGTGAGGTGAGTGAGGTGACATACGGAGTACGCCACCGACATGCGACACGACACTACGCTATCATGATACTTTTCTTCGTCACAACCCTTATTTACCAAATAAGAGGAATCGAAATACTGGAAGATAAAAGAGGCTTATCTCGCACACATTCGTATGCGATCACCTGGGTGCCCTTCGCTTACACCCAGGAAGAAACTCGGCGCCAGTAAGCCGCCGCCGTTATATCACAAAGTGGAGATTGCAGCTGAAAAGGTTAAAAATTGACTATTGGAGTCAGAAATACGAACAACGGTCAGACACCTGTCATGATGCCACTCGACGCCCCAAGGAAACGCCTCACGCCATGTATAACGAGGGGTCACCCCGTAAGCAGCGGTCAGACTGATAGCAAGACTGTGGACAGGGGCGACTTTGTCGCACATGCTGTGCTTATCACAATTGAGTGAAATGATTTTCTGTTTCGTTCGACGCCACGAATGATGGTCTTGCTTGGCAATGATGCTGGTTCCATCGATTGAACCCCGAATGCGTACATCTTCAGCCAGCCACAAGGTCTGACTGGCGCAGACTTATTCGCTGTGGCCCTGCACGTGGAGTGATGAAGTCCTTCTCCTTTCTCATTGGCGGCGCATTTCTTTGGCAAAGAAAAAGAAGAAGAAAACTGCGCTTCAGGAGCCTCCAATAGTGACCTGAGGCTGGGATATTTGAAGGGTGAAGTTGATATTGCTTGCGCTTTCACATTTCATTTCGTCCGCATCTGAGGGAAATGTAACTACCCGGCTCGGTCCATAAGAAGCAATGCGGTCGGTATGATGCTATCTCGCTCCAATTGAGGACAGTCGATCTTGGCGACCTCCTGGGCCCCCCTCCCAGCTTGGTACACTCCCCCCCTGAGTCGCATATGTCCAAGTCTTGCCTCCGAGAAAGAAACCATCCCATCTCCCTCTCAGCGACTCAAGAACTCGTTCCTATCCTGATAGCAAACAGTGATGATGTACGGCAATGCAAACGGAGTCTTCGCGGGTGAACGGACCGAGAAGGTGTCTCATCTCTGAGCGACCTCCCATACCAGGTGAGAGACAGGTCTCCTTCTCCTCCGTAGTGCCCATCCTCACACCGGGCAGCAGCCTTCTGTACTCGCGCAGACGGCCTGCTGACCTTGCGTTGCGCTGAACGAAATGTCCTGTAATGATGCCGCATCTGGAGCCGCCTTCCCTACTACCCACGAGTGCGCACTCACCTCTAGTTCAGCCAGCAAATCCGACAACCTTTTCTTCGCCCGAGACTCGACGTACGATAGCTGATGCCCTGACGCATTTCGCAGCACATTGAGCATCTACGAGAGGAATGCTGAGGTTTTTGACGACCTGAGCGGGTTTCTGTTATACTCCATCGACATCGTCGTTCTGGCTCGTCTTGCTCGGGGGCAAACTCGTCACCAGAATCGATTAACCCTTGCAGCGATAATAGTATTAGTAGTCGAGTGGGAGTATATTGTCCCCTTCTCTTTGAGCTGGGCCTCTCTTTCAGGGCCGCACTGCGCAAGACTGTAGTGGTCAACCTGAACGCAGAGGCATTGAACGCCGAGTTTTCTTGTCATAATGCTGGCATCTCCAGTAGTTTGGTGAGCGGTCACCAAATTCCGTCGCGTATTATGTCCTCCTAGGACTGCGTTGGACGACCCAGACGTAGCTTAAAGATGCAAATCGCGCTTCAGAAACCAATGGCCTGACCATGCGGCTGAGATAGCCAAAGACCTGAGAGTTGTGACAGGGAAGGTCAATTATTGGAGCTCAAGGTCCCAAGTGGTCGTCGTCTGAGATCCAAGATTAGGTAGTGTCAAAATCTTGTGGGAAGGGCGTATTGTGTGAGGCTAGGTTGATGAAGGAACCGACATTACAGACAAGGTAAGAGGTCACTTAGTCCTCGAGTGTCCATTAGATTTGTCGATAACTTGCGTCCTGTTGGTACAGTTCATCCTTATGCTGTTTCAAGCACTCGAAATCAATGACTGGGCATCTTTCGCATATGTCGGCGAGACAAGGTGTTGATGCCTCGCTGTTTGGATGCCTGGTGTCATCTGCATGGCTTCTTGGTCCATATATATCCCGCGGTCAATGATTTCGAGTCTCTTAATTGGACTGGTTATGAGGTTTGAGAGTCTTCTCAGTCGCCCTCTGGAGCCTTGAAGGTGTCATGGGCTCTTTTGCCGAGTCTATCGACTTCTTCTCGAGACTGGCTAGTGATCTGGCCATCTTTCTTGAAAGCCACTATGATGAGCATGGAGTCGACAACCCAGGAGACTGGCACTTGCGTCACAGACACCTGAATGACTTGAATGATTGGTTCCAGCCGTCCAAGCTCCTTTTGGCGATCTTAGCACGTCAATGCCCAATAAGATGAGCAGCCAAGCCTGAAGGGGCAAGGTCAGAAACGCCGTCTGTCGCAGAATAAGGCACTCCATGCAGGGCGCAAAATAAGAATTTGACGGGAGATACAATGATAGAGGTGGTTTCACTGTATGAGATTGGGGTGTTTTGATAAATGGTCAAGTACTCCTGTTACCAGACCATCAGATCTGGTCGCCACTTGCATGCTGCCTCTCTTGGCCTCGCCGCTCATGTTCCCCGCAAAAACAATTCGCGCTGGTCTGTTCGCCTCCTCCAGCCATGCTTGCCATGATGACCTCGAATCCACACGTGGGAAAGGCCCGTCCCTCTAACTTGACCGCTACTAACTCGCCCCGCCAAGTCCTTCCAGGCGGGTTGTGTCCACTAAATTTACCTGGCGTGCGACCTCCCGCGAGGATTGGAAGCCCCGTAATTGACCAACCAGAAGCGCTAGCGGCATGGAATGCAAGGTACCCGTCTCCCTCCCCCCCACCGCGCGAAGAATGCCCAGCTGCCAATCCCTGCGCATACCGCCTTGCCCCGGCATCTGGCATCCGCCCCCTTTTCCTTCACCTTTGAGGGAGACCCTGAGATCACCCGCCGCCACAATCACCTCTGGTCTTCTTCAATCTTCCCCTCCCCTCAACCCATCGAGGTGCAGATACAGCAGATCGAGTGAGTGCAAGCGACGCCAGGAAATAAACAGGCGAAACAGCATTTCACGCATACAAGCAACACTCCTTTGCCAACAAACGTCGTGCCTGGCTGCACACAGTCTCAATCACACTCTCCTTGAAACCCACCGCCACCCCCGGCCTCCCTCATTTTACTCTCAGACCCTCCCCACACCAGGGCCGCGATACCCAGCGTCACCAATTCGAAACGCCATACCTACCGCAGGATCACTCTCTACTCCATCCTTTGGCGTTGCTCTTTCCTTCTTCCTCTGCCAACAAGCGCTTTCTCGCGATTCACCAATCCGTGGCGGCTTGAGGTCGTCATCCTTGTTCGACGCGATATACCCCCCAACGCGACAGACTGCACTCTCTGCGAGCTCAGAGACACCATTGAAAGGGAGAAAGCAATAGAAAAGAGGAAATCTCGACACACAGAATGAGAATAATGCATCTCTGAAGAGAAGAACCAGAGAACAACATCCCACGATCCTTACCCAGCATCAACCACTGCTCCGCTGAGCAGCAGTCCGCTCCCTAGCGAAACCACACAGAATACCACAAAAGACAACCATAACCGCTCTTTGACCTACCGACGACTTCTCTCTCTTTCATTTTTAATACATTTCGCATTTCGAATTCATCTTTTCCAACAAAAATGCTCCCGTCACGATCCCTCTTCAGCTCAGCCCTCGGGCTGCTGGCCACCCTATCATGCAGCCCGGCGGCCCTCGTCTCGGCGCAGGTGCACACCGACTGCCAGCCGCTGAACCGGACCGACTGCCCGCCCGACCCGGCCTTCGGCATGGACTTCAACTTCAACTTCAACGCGACGCCCAGCAAGAGCGCCTGGGAGACGACCGTGGGGCCCGTCGACTTTGACAAGGACAACGGCGCCATCTTCACCATCAAGAAGAAGGGCGACTCGCCCACCATCCGCACAAAGTTCTACATCTTCTTCGGCCGCATCGAGATGCACCTCAAGGTCGCCCCCGGCGTCGGCATCATCAGCTCCATGATGCTGCTGAGCGACTGCCTCGACGAGATCGACTGGGAGTTCATGGGCGGCAACGACACCCACGCCGAGACAAACTACTTCGGCAAGGGCGTCCAGGACTACCACAACGCCATCTACCACCCGGTCGCCGGCGGCGTGCAGTCGACCTTCCGCAACTACACCACCCACTGGACCAAGGATGCTCTCGACTTCTACATTGACGGCAACAAGGTCCGGACCCTGCTGCCCAAGGACGCCAACAACACCTACTACTACCCCCAGACCCCGATGCGGCTTTCGCTCGGTATCTGGGCCGCCGGCGACCCGAGCCAGCCCATCGGCGTCAAGGAGTGGGCCGGTGGAGAGACCGACTACAAGAAGGGACCCTTTACCATGATGGTGAAGAGCGCCCAGATCACCGACTTCAGCTCCGGCAAGGAGTACTCGTACGGTGACAAGTCGGGCTCTTGGGAGAGCATCAAGATCGCCTCGTAAGTGGCCTGGAAACAAACGTCTTTAGTGTACAGTAAGAGTACTAATTTCATCAAACCAGGGGCAACTCCACCGTCGCAGCGACCATCAACGCGCCGCCTGAGAAGTCCATCGCCGAGAAATGGAATGACCTTCCCCAGCTGAGCAAGACGGCCGTTTACGCGTCCGGCGCGGGTGTGGCCGCCATCATCGTCTCCGCTCTCCTGTACTACTTCATCAGGCAGCGCAAGATCGGCGCCAAAGAGGCCAAGCTCGCCGAGGAGAGGCAGCGCCAGGAGCGTCTGGAACTGGAGCAGTTCAAGAAGGCCGGCATTGACCCCGACAGCTTCCGCGAGGAAGGCCAGGAGTACAATGCCAAGGAGATGCGCGATGAAGGCATGACCACTAGCAACGCGTACTCGATTCCCGCCAGCCCCTCCAACGAGAAGGCTTGGGCGGCGGCGGGCGCCGCGGCCAGTATCGGCGCGGGAGCGGGAGCCGGTGCAGCTGCTGCTTCGGGCATGCGCAGCCCCGTGCCTCTGCTGGCCAATGGTGCGCAGAGCCCCCGAGGGCAGAGTCCAGGCCCTTTCAACCAGGGCGGTTACGGCATGGACCGGACCGGGTCCCCTGCGCCCGCGCACCCACCGCCAAACTTCCCTCTGCCCGCAACCCCTGCCAACAGGAGCTTCTCGACGCCCAACCCCGACATGAGGCACGGCTCGCCCGCCCCGTCTGCCGGAGGCTACTCCGACATGGGCAGGACTCAGAGCCCTCGGCCCATGGCTCCGCCGCAGCGTAGCTTCACTTCAAACAGCTACGGCAACGGTGGCGGTGGATATGGCGGCGGAGGTCAGGGCTATTCGGGCCACCAGCCTGGGTATGGAGGCAATGGCAACGACGGATACTGGCGGTGATTAGCAAGCTCGAAGTGACGCATGAGTGAACAGGGGCTCGTCGATCTTTGAGCTCCCTCCTTTCTATCTTTTTCACCCCAGTCGAACAGCTTCGTAGGGGGCCAACGTCTGCCCCACGAGGTGGCGGTATGAGCGACCGGAGTTTGGTGCAGATGGTCATATGCGTCGATATTGTATGTTACGTAACATTTCCAGTCGGGCTAGATGCCCTTGGGATCTTTGAACGAATGAGAAATATACCCGATTCACACCGAGACAAGAGAAATTGACCCCCGAGGCCGATCATTCAAGTGACCCGAATGATGGCATCTCCTGGTTCTGCCTTGCCTGTCGTGGAGAGCAAGTATTGAGCCCTTGTTGGGCTGCATGCCATTTTCTAGCGGCTTGCCAAGCTCTGGGGTTGTTTGGTGATGGCGGACGTCCGACAGCTTGCATCGCGTGGTGTTGTGTTGTGTCAAGGTTTGACCGAGAGCCGGGGTCCGCTTGGCCATTGAGTGCCCCGGGTGCCTGGTTTTTGTCGAGATCTTGAAACATGCTCCTGCAGCGGAGCAAAGTTACGGTGTTCAAGAGACCATCTTTCGCGCTCGTCGGCCAGAAGCAGTCCGACCACATCGGAAATATCGCTGCAGTCGAGCCGATGGATGTGCCGATGGTCTTGGGGACGGAAGGGCGAGGCCATGGATGTTGTGCACATGCGACAGCGTCATCCTCGGGCCGGCTGGAGGCGTCGTGCACCAGGATAGACAAGTACAGGTTGCTCGTGTTTTAGCTGGGACAGTCTCAATTCCATGAATAGCGCTCACTTTCTCGAGGAGTCGGGCTTGTTAGCTCGAGAGTTCACACGGCCTGTACGGACCACTAGGATACATCGAGGGCGAGTGAACAATCCTCATCGGGGACCCGGTGTGCCGACAGCCCAGATCCTCTCTGATGGTCATGCTTGCTCGACTGACGTCGACTGCCCCCCTTGCAAACCCAAGTGTGTTGTCATGTTAGGGTCGATATCGTGGCAAGTTTCACGGCCTCCTCGGTGCCGTTGTGGTGCCCAGGAACTCGTCCGTCGGGCGCGAAGTGCTCGATTGCACAGCATTAGTCCTCTGGGCAACAACGCGATCGGAAGACGGTTGGGCAAGCCTCTTGCAACACTGCCGGCTGCAAGTCAGAAGTAAGGTCAGGAGAGATGTAAGCAGCCTCATGCAAGTCGAGGGAAGAAGAAGGCAAACGACATGGAGGAGGCACAATGTCCAACCTGGCATTTGTGGAGACGACACGAGGTTGACTGGGGATGTACGTAAGGCAGGAGGAACCACGCACCTCGGAAGGCACCTTCTCGTATTCGCCATCCTCACGCACCTTTCCTTCTGGACGCATTCCGTATGGATACAGCCCTTTCAGCCGCGATAATGTTTCAACCCTTTCCCCGCAAAGCGCGCTGCAAGCCCGGTCTGACAGATCGGCACGGCATCGGGCTCGTCCAGGGTTTGCATTCGCCTTCGGGCGCCAGTCCGTTCAGCCTCTCACCGTCTTGACGTGTTTATATTACCAAATACAATCGAAAAGAATGACCACATCTTATCCTCTGCCTCTCGTGAACTTGAAACGAGGGCAAACCGTCATCAGGCAAGAACCCAACTAACCAGTCTGTCAGGATCGCAATCCTTCTTGCACCACCGCTTCGTCCGATCTCGATCGTCACAGCTCACGACAAAATGCTGTTGATGAGAGCGGTCTAATGCCAGGAACACGATATCTGGGATGACAACGCTAGAGAATTGCAAACCATCTTCGGCCAACATGTCCAACTCTTTGTTGCTCAGGACTGCTTTTCTGGGAGGAATGTCAGCAGGACCAGGAACCTGATTCATGTTGTGGACGGGCTTTTTGAGCCCGAGATCACAGCAGACCAGCAGGTGCACGGCGTACCGGGCTACTCAACAGGACATCGTGATCAACACACAGCGTCAGACGGACCATCAAACTCACGCCGGGCTGGTCCAACCTCGTCGAGACTATGATCGGCCCATGCGTGCGTGCACGAAGACCTGGATCCCCTGCTGGACAGGGCCGGGTCGGTGTCAAGTGGACTGCGGAACTGCAGTTCTGTCAGACCGTGACGAAAGAATCATGAGCGCTGCGACGACTCGAAGGTCCTGGGGCTCGCCGACCAGGCAAATATAAAAGAACACGAGCGCCCGGCCCAAAAAGACAACTCGCTGAAGAAGCAACCCTATCGACTCAGCAGATCCAGCTCCTCCAAGACTTTGTCCGTTCTCACAATCGCTACTCTTCAATCTTTCAAGATGCACTTCACCAACGCCCTCGCCATCTTGACGGCATTCGCCTCCTCCGCCGTGATGGCCGTGCCCTCAAACCTAGGCAACAGCCACAACGGCGTCTTCGCCCGCGGCGGAGGCGGCGGCGGCGGCGGCGACCACTCCTGCAAGGGCGACCAGTGGTACGTCGGCTGGGACAAGAAGTGCGCCTGCCCTACCGGCTGCGAGTACGACGAAGCCGTCGGCAAATGCCACTACCCCACGCACCCGCCCCTGACCTGCGGCTACGGCGAGCTCCTGTGGTGTGCCCGCAGCGCCACGGACTACTGCCAGTACGGTGAGTCTTCCAGCCCCCCCTTTACCTCACCACAAGTGACAACGGATGCTCATTCTTGTCGATGCCCTCCGCAGACGTGAAGGACGAGCGCTGCTGGGCCGACGGCAGGAGCCAGATCTTCTGCGCCGCCGAGGTCGAGATCACGATCATCATCATCGAGATCTTCCCGCCACCCATTCCTACCTGCGAGGGCGACCAGCACTATGACTACAGCGCGAAGCAGTGCGTCTGTGAGACCGGCAAGGTACGTTTCGGCTTTCCTATGCTCATCGCTGCTTAAACGGTGTCAACACCTTATCACCGTTTCCGTATCCTGACTGAATCTTCCGCCAGGTCTTCACCAACGGCAAGTGCGGCTACCCACCCCTGCCGCCTCCCATCTGCTCGTACGGCGAGAAGGCATACTGCGCCAAGGACAAGGACAGCTACTGCGCGTACGGTAAGCTCGAATCACCCGTAAATGCCCCCTCCAAGAGCCCACATAGTAACCCTTGAACTACAGATGCTGGCAACGCCTACTGCTTGGCCGACGGCCACAACACCGTCTTCTGCTGCGCTCCTCCCAAGATCAAGGAGGTCTGCGCCCAGAAGTGGGATTACTAGTCTCGCCTATATCCAAGAGGGATATTTCAAGATAGCCCCCTCAAGAAAAGGAAGTTTGGAATCTCACGACAAGGCAGAAGCAGGGTTGTCACTCCTTCCAACCCCCCCTTTTTCACTTCATATCACTCGTTCACATTCGACTTTGGCCCATGTTGCAACTGGATCTAGCTTTGAGAGGTACAAAATAAGAAAGAGACACTAAGCAATCTCCGAAAGAGATTTGAACCTGACCGGTTGTAATGAGTGCATGCCAAGCTGAGAGTCTGGATGGCACCATTGATGGGTCGTTGGGTCTGTTTGTTACCTCCTGCCTATTGTGGGAATCGCCAAACGCTGCTCATATTCATAAAGGGGGTGAGAGGGTGGGTTGGCACAACCTTATTTCGACTTGCACCCACCGCTCTCTCGCCCAGTGCTAGAAGAAATGAGCCCTCAGCCATCCATCCACAAACGCCGGTCCTCAACCAAACACCTCCTGCTACCAAACCCTCAGGCATTTAACAATGACCAAGTTCCCAAGACCTGAAAGGGTCATAATTATTCACCGGTGGCAGCGTGTTATCTTATCTCGGTAGTCTCCGAGCCTGCATCCAAGCCGCCAACACAAGCCGACGTCGGCCATGCATGGCCAGCCTCTCATCGTTCACTGCAGTCCTCATCTGTGATGGCTGGAGCCATGCTCATCCATAACCACCGCCCACTCAATTCATATCCAGACTTACATCAGCAGCGTGGATAGACACAAGTGATACGCTGACCGCATACTTCCCATGTTACCATTGCATGGAACGAGTTCTCTCACCAAAGTACACAATCCACCACCTCCCAGACAAACAGCCATCCTATTTTTAGCCAAAAGCAGGCTTGCAAGGATGGAGCTGGTGTTGCAAAGACCGCGAGCTCCGGGTAACTAGGCACACGCATGCTGGGACTGGGGTGCTCTTTTTTTTTTTTAGCCGCATCGGCAGAATGTACCGGCCGCCACGCTCCCTCGCGTTCATCATCATCGCCAAGACAAAAGACCACATCGACTCCGTGATCCATCGTGTTATGTATCTTTGTGGTTTTTCTCCTCTAGGCCCAAAGCTTTCTTCCCCGTCTGTGTCTGCCGAAGCGAAGAGCGAGCGAGGGCCGGTGCATCAGCGGTGCGTGGCTGGGCTGGAGAAGAGACGAGCACGTCGATGCATGACAAGCCCCCTTTCACAGCAGCTCCGTCCTCTCCCCAAAACGGATCAAACAAACCTGTGGTCCACGTCCGTAAAGAATTCCCCGACCCGGCAAAGACCAGTCAGTCCGGTACCAGACAGCTAGGCCTAGACCCTGACCTCCATGAGTTGCACCTCCATCCACATCTGGCCAGCCATGTGTGTCACTTTCCAAGCCAAAGTATTTGAAGGGTTGAAAAGAAAAAAAGGCTTGATTGACTTATGCTAAGACTTCTGGGATAATGCAAGAAATAATGACCAAAAGAGAGAAAAAGAAAGTCCAAAAGCATCCTCTTCCAGCCAACGCACTCTCTTCCCTGTCTTGCACTGATGGCACAAAGTACTCCATCCAAAATGCCGTTCGTACCGTCCCGGCTGGGTGGGAAAACCCCTGCCCCCTCAGAACAGGTCAGAGAGCCCAAAAGAGAACCGCCCTTTTTTTCCCTCCAGAGAGCTTTTCCCGCCTCCGCCGCTGGTACAGCGGGTGATGCTGTGCTCCCCTGCCCCCCATCCCCGTCAAACCGCCCCATTTCAGCCAATGCAGAGCCCATGTCAGAAACGAGTCCGAGAGAACCGTTCAGTCAGGCGTGCACTCCCAGCCTCGCAGCCCCCCCCTTTCCCGCCTCTGACCCCGGCTCAAGCATCACCACCCACCCATCCAGTGGATACCGCTCACTTCCTGCACCTCGACCAGGACAGGTGGACCTGCTGGGTAAAGGCAACAGTGGCGTCGTCGTTGGTGATCTCGCCGACGGCGGAGCTGTTGCTGCTGGTGAGCGAGATGCGGTTGTTGACGTTGAGGATGCCGTTGGCGCCGCAGGGCGAGTAGATGTAGCTCGCGGTCGGGACCTGGTCGTTCTTGGTGTAGACCTGGCCGTCGGCCCAGATGCCGCCGCCCGTGATCGAGGTCCGGGTCGTGGTGGTGGCGCTGGCGTCCTGGGAGAAGTAGTAGGTGCTGTAGAAGGTGCCCGTGACGCCGGGGTCCAGCTGCGCGTAGCCGTGGTAGGTGCTGTCGACGACGGCGAACTGGAAGCCGCCCGGGTAGCGGAGGTTCAGGTGGAGCTGGCAGTTCTTGGTTTTGGTGGTGGGGTCGTAGCCGGGGCCGATGTAGGTCTGGAACTTGTCGAAACCGAAAGTGACAACCTTGGACTGTTTGTTAATAAGATGGCAGGAGTAATTTCGGGGCCTTCACTCACTGTCTTGTCAGGGGAGATGGTGGTGGAGACGGAACCCTGAGGGCAGCCGTTGCCGGAGAAGCTAGTGCTGATGATCTGGATATCGTTCGGGTCGGGGTTGTCGGCGGTTCCGTCAGGGCTGCCGCCGGGGGGGAAGACCAGGCCGGGAGCGGCAGCAACAAGGGCTGGGAGGAGGAAGGCAACGGAACGCATATCGACTGAGTAAACTGAGTTGATCGGGTTGTCGAGTGTGGGATAGATGATATCAAATCAAGAGCAGGATCTTGAAGCTTCTGGTGAGGCTGGAGGACTGAAGAGTGATTGATGGTGATGAGGGATGAAATGATGTTGACCAAGTCGGCGGCGAGGGCTGAATTTATACACATCACGATCTCAGAACCCGACCTCGTTCCAGCCACTCGGCCACGACAAAGAGACATCGTCGAGCTGACATCTCTAGATTGACCCGTTCACACTGCCCGGAATTCGAGGCGGTTCGCGATGTCCAGCCACGGAGGCAAAAGGGTATGAACCCCGCCATCCGCTTCTCGGATCAATCCAATGTCGTGAGAGTCCAGAGTCCCTCCTTCGCCGCGACCTTAATTTACGACATTAGATTGCGCGCTGGCGGTCTCGTCTCTCCAGCCTCGGAGACGTCGAGCTTTCGATGCTTGTGTTCGTCTAGCTCTCTTGATTGTTGCAGTGGCTGGCTGGCTGCAAATTTGCGGGTGAAAAGAAGGATAAATGAAAAACATATTAAGACGGGACCTCGAGCCTCTTAAGGGACCCCTTTCTGGGACTCGTCTCTCTGGTCGGCGGGCTTGGCCTCGAGCCCAGATCGTATCGTTGTGGATAACGATCTTAAAAAAGGTCTTTTTATAGAAACGGGATGAGTGATGCATCGCATTCGGGCTCAGGAACAAGGAGATGGTTGCCCTCTCAATTGGTTGGACAGGGAGCGAGTTGTGCCTTGAACTCCGCCAAAGGACCCGGTCTGGGGTGCAGGTGGAGGAGCCACCTAGATTGACAGAGGGCCCAGAGGCCATTGAATGAGCATGTTTGCTGCTGATCACTTCATCCAGACCCGGTCTCAGCATTGATGATGTTCGCGCAGCTTGCCATCGGCCGCTACCCAGGCACATGGTGACAGACGAGGTACATCTCGCGACCCCAATGAAGAGCTCGAGCGACCGGCCACTTGGGATCTCGCGATGCTGATTGTTGCTATTTTGGTCCCTACCCAAGACTCTCGTAGATTAAGCTTAATTATCCCACCTAGCAGCACTTGACTGCAGTTGATGATGTGTTTGTTGAGTGGTGGATGCGGACTAAGCCGTGCCCTTCCGGAGCAGTTTCAAGGCAACATATGGGAAAAGCGATGCCAAGTTAGTTGATATCCTCGTTGAGAGCGATGTTCAACCTCATGTCATCGTCTGAGCTCCCGTCCTGTCAGCGTTGCGGGATGCTTTGAGCTCGGGCATCCATGACACCTCCTCGTCCCTGGAAGAGCGAGGCTTGGCCCGGCCTGTCCAGACCCTTCATAGACCAGACTTCTGGTCTTGGGCATGAAGACCGGCTTGACATGACTGCGATTCTTGTCTCGATCAAGTTGCCGTGGTTTGTTGCCGTGGAAGCTGAGGAAAGCGCGGAGTTCAGTTGGCGCCATCAGAGGTGACATTGTGATCGCGAAGCCGCTCCCAAGGGAGTCACCATCACACCACCATGAAGCGCATAAGGCTACATGGAGGCGTCCCGCGCAGCCATGAGGGAGGGATGCGTCCCGCCAACCTCAGGCACAGGGTTGCATTGCGTACTCTCCGTCGAGCCACAGTCGCGGGTGGCCACGGAGCCTCCATCCCGCACAGCTCGCCACAGCGAGTCTCGATTCTGAGGGGAATTATTGATATTGCATGCCTCGCCTCATTTGCGCGCTTGTCGTACATGTGAAAGGGAGCAACGCCTTTCCATCTCTCCGGGGCTAGGTTCAACGAACCGATGGCTAATTCTTCACGTCAGCCTTTGGAGAATGGTTGGAAGATTTGCGCTCGCGGTTCCGTCTCGGCAAGCCAGCAACACCCGCGTAGCAGAGAGCTTGGATTCAGGCGACGGGCGGCAAGATCGATTGGCTTCTGGCTTGGCTTGTTCCGTAATCAAAACAACTCAACCGGATCGGTCTTGTGCAACGGAGAGCATAAAGCAAATTAGCCCATCCCAGCAAAGAGATCAGGTGAGCTTGACGATGTAACGACCAGGCTGGCTCGCCAAAGTCACCCCGCAGCCCGCCCAGGGAACACCCCCGGATCTCGAGCTGGGCTGGTGCGGGCTCGGACAGCGATGCAATGTACGTGCCTGCATGCGCGGTACCTGGCGGACATTATCACGGCTCCAGGGCAGTGTGTGTGTGTGGTGTACATCGCGGAATCTGTGTCGGAAATCCTGGTTGCACGTAGCCAAGAATAGAAACAGGACCAAACTGCGGGATGCTCTCCAGTATTAACTGCATCACCCGACTGGCGAGCGCAAATTGCAGTTCATTGTGCGACGCCGATGGTACGATGAGCCGCTGCAGGCTAGCTGGAGCTCTTTCCGGGTTGCCCTGTCCAAGCCAATGCTCTCGTCGTTGATCGTGTCTTTGCAGCAATTGGCGAAGGACCAGGTGCGTGCGATCCAGGTCTGACTACTTGTACAGAAGAGCTGTGCAGTTCATCACTTGAACTGATAGTGTAGGTACTATTAGGGTTAGGCCAGTCGTCTGACGCATAGCAACTGAAACGAAGTAAACGATGATGTCTGCATCTTGCAACGTGGAAGCAAACAGATCCCGAGGTCCTGGATTGGACAGATGTTGGCAGCGCAGATCGTTCTTGCTCCGGACTACCAGCAATAGCCCTCCTCGGACAGACGACCCCTGATCGGGATTGCGGGGTTGGTGGTGGGCATGGAACAGTCCCTACGTCCGCTGGGCCTTGGCTCTTCAAGCAACAGGGACTCTTCTGAGCTGCGATGGCACGTCGAGGGTAGGTGACAGCACCAGTACGCTACCAGGCACGGGACAAGGCTCTCCGGGAGATTGTGCTCTAAAATATTCTATTTTTGTTTTCAACAGCAAAAAAAAAAAAAAAAGAAGACGGGAGTTTACTATTCACATGATGGGGTTATCCAAGAAAAGATCCTCCGTTTCCAAACAACAGCTCAGGCTTGCGCCATGCGCATGCGATCCCCCGCGCCGATTACATTGTCAATCATCAAATTTTGGGCAAAAATTGCCGTGACTCGAGATCCGACCCTCTCCCAACAAATACCCACCACTTCGGCCAAATCGCTTTAAGCAGCCTCAGCAGCCTTGAGCAGACCCTCGAGGTTGATGCTCTTGGGGCGCTCGATGGGCAGGCCCAGGGCGCGGTCCCAGATGAGCTGGGCCAGAGGACCCAGGCCACGCGAGACGCCGAAAGTAGCGGTGTAGTAGAGGGTCTCGTGGAAGCCGTAGTGGTGGAAGAGGACGCCGGACGAGGAGTCGACGTTGGGGTAGGGGTTCTTGGTCTTGCCGTGCTCCTTGAGGACGTCGGGAGCGATATCGCTGTTGGCCTTGACCAGCTTGAAGACGGGGTCGTTGGCGATCTTGGGGCGCGAGGCGGCGTAGTCCATGAGGGCCTCGAAACGAGGATCGGGCTTGCGCAGGACGGCGTGGCCGTAGCCGGGGACGACGCGGCCCGAGTTGAGGGTGGACCAGAGGTAGTCCTTGACATCCTTGGGGGTGTAGGAAGCAGGGATGGCCTCCTTCATCTGCAGGATCCATCGGAGCACCTCCTGGGCGGCGAGACTGTGATGTAGGTGTTAGTGTGTTGCGTTGTGTTGTGGATTGACAAACTCAAATCAGACAAGGTGACTTACCCATGGAGGGGACCGGCCAGACCCTGGAGACCGGCACTGTAGCTGAGGAAGGGGTCGCTCAGGGCACTGCCGACCAGGTGGGTGGCGTGGGCAGAGACGTTGCCGCCCTCGTGGTCGCCGTGGAGGGCGAGGTAGAGACGGAGGAGGTCCTGGAAGTCCTCGTTCTCACGGCCGCCCTTGCCGAGCATGGCGGCAAAGTTGTAGGACCAATCCTGCTCGAGGTCGACCTTGGCGGGCAGGGCACCGCCGCCGCGGTACGAGTTCTGGTAGATCTTGGCGGCGATGGTGGGCAGCTTGGCCAGCAGGCTGATGCAGTCGTCGTAGGTGGGCTCCCAGTAGTCGGCCTTGTTCAAGCCCTCCTCGTAGGCCTTGGCGAACTTGGAGGTGTAGTTGAGGGCCGAGACGGCGATGGCGAACTGGGTCATGGGGTGGAGGTCCTTGGGGAAGTCGTCGAGCATCTTGCTGACGAAGGCGGGCAGCTCGGCCTGCTCGGCCAGCTGGCGCGAGAAGGCGCGGGTCTGGTTGACCGAGGGGACCTGGCCGGTGAGCAGCAGCCAGAACATGGCCTCGGGCAGCATCTCGGTGCCGGTCTTGCCCTTGGGCAGCTCCTTCTGGCAGTCCTTGATGGTGCGGCCGTGGAAGCGGATGCCCTCGTTGGCGTCGAGGACGGAGCCCTCCCAGACCATGGCCTTGAGGCCACGCATGCCGCCAATGGTGTTCTCGATCTTGACCTCGCCAATGACCTTGCCGCCCTGGGCCTTGACCTTCTTGAAGAGGTCCCGCTTGGCCGGGATGACCTCCTTGAGGGTGGCCTTCAGGTCCGGCTCGGAGCTGGACGAGTAGTTCCTCGCGGAGAGGGCGACGCGGACGGTGCGGGGCTGCCCATGATCGTAAGCCGAATGCTTCACTTCATTGCCACTGAGCTTGCGGATGAGCTGGAATTGGCAGAGCGACTTACCCGCAGAGCTCCCAGAGCCCTGGTCGTAGACCTGACGTTCATAGCCATGGTGATGTGATAGCCGAGCTTATCTGAATAACCGGGCCGGCGGTGGTGGTACAGGGTGCTTTGGTCTACTTGCGAATTGCCCTACGACGATGATGTAATGGGCAATAAATCACTGCACTGGTACAACAGCTCTGCTTATCGAGGATACAAGAGAGGGAAAGGATCACGACAGGGAGAAAAAAAGTAAGAGAGATCAAGATGTGTGTCTGGGTTTGGGAGGCTGCAGAATTTACATTCCCTTCTCTCCGCACATGCGTCGCGCCAGTCCAGTTGGAGATCGGAACAACCGAGCTTGGAGAGAGGCGCTGCCTCAGCACACTCCGGCGAGCGTGTACTTTGAGGGGAAGCCGAGACTTTGCACTCCACGTCCGCCGCCACGAACCGAGGGAAGCCGCAAGGCCTGCCATCGGTAAAACGGCTTCACACGGGTCCAGGTCGAATTGGCCAATCATGCGGCCTGGTTTCATGCATTCCCCCCCCACAGCGAGCCCTGGAGAGTGACAAGTCTGCTGTGGAGGAGTGCTGGGGAGAGAGGGAGAGTTTCTTGGGGCACCAGTTTGGCACCAGTTTTAGTGGGTTTGTGAGCACTTTGCTGACTGTTCCGGGGGTCATTCCTCACCTGGGCCACCTGGGCAGAGTTCCCTCACGGTAGTATCGGCCTGGTACACCAATGAGGGTGCCCACTTGAGCCGTGGCCTCGGGCGGCAAACCTTTACCGCTGAGTTCTGACCTGACGCACCACCAGGGCAACCAGGCGAGACCGGCCAAGCTTCGTCTCTCCTCCTGCCAGAGTACTAACACCGAGTGGCCGATCGGGTTTCCCGCTCGGCCTTGCGAGATTTTGCATCCCAGACCGGAGTGGCGCATTTTTATTTGTGTGATTCATCTTTGCCTCTTGTTATTATTCTTGTGAGACCTGTCGATTCGGACGTTGACCGAGCCTACTGCTGTTGTCATCTGGTCTTACTAAGTTGGGTGATATCATTGCGGTTATTGCGGGTAGTAGTGGCAGCTCGCTCGCTCTTCTCTCCCTCCTCACCTATTTACATATCTGCACTCTGCCACCGCTCGCTGTGGTTTACTTTTGCGTAAACCGTCTCCTCCTCCGGCGACACAGTCATAAAACATGCTCCGTGGCATTGCGACCCGTGTCCCGCGAAGGGCAGCTCTCGCAAAGTCTGGCGCCAGCACCACCGTCCGCCTGCTCTCCGCAACAGCCGTCCGCAGGATGCCGAGCCTGCCTCCCGTCAACCCGCCCGTCTCGACGGCCCTGCCCTCCGACTCGTTCCAGCTCCTGCCCGAGTCCCAAAAGGCCGGCGCCGCCGAGGACGCCCTCTACGAGCAGCAGATCAAGGATGTCGAGGCCTGGTGGGCGTCGCCGCGGTACGAGGGCATCAAGCGGCCTTACACGGCCGCCGACGTCGTCTCCAAGCGCGGCTCCCAGATGCAAAACTACCCCAGCTCCGTCATGGCGCGCAAGCTGTTCAACCTGATCAAGGAGCGCGAGTCCAAGGGCGAGCCCATCCACACGAGTACGTCGAGCTCCCCTTTCCCTCCTCCAGCAATTCACTTACTTTGCTTGCAAAGACTAACACACTCTGTCCCTCTCACACACAGTGGGCGCCATCGACCCGATCCAGATGACCCAACAAGCCCCCCACCAAGAAGTGCTCTACATCTCGGGCTGGGCCTGCTCCTCGGTCCTGACCACGACCAACGAGGTGTCGCCCGACTTCGGCGACTACCCCTACAACACGGTGCCCAACCAGGTGCAGCGCCTGGCCAAGGCGCAGAGCATGCACGACCGCAAGCAGTGGGACCTGCGGCGCAAGATGACGCCCGAGCAGCGCGCCGCCGAGCCCTACACCGACTACCTGCGGCCCATCATCGCCGACGGCGACACGGGCCACGGCGGGCTCTCGGCCGTGCTCAAGCTGGCCAAGCTGTTCGCCGAGAACGGCGCGGCGGCCGTCCACTTCGAGGACCAGCTGCACGGCGGCAAGAAGTGCGGCCACCTCGCCGGCAAGGTGCTCGTGCCCACGGGCGAGCACATCAACCGCCTCGTCGCCGCGCGCTTCCAGTGGGACGTCATGGGCACCGAGAACCTCGTGCTCGCGCGCACCGACTCCGAGTCGGGCAAGCTGCTGTCCTCGGCCATCGACGTGCGCGACCACGAGTTCATCCTCGGCGTCACCGACCCGGCCATCGAGCCCCTCGCCGAGACCATCCAGGCCATGGAGGCCGCCGGCGCCGCGGGGGCCGAGGTCGACCAGTTCGAGGCCAGCTGGGTCAAGAACACGAAGCTGGTCACCTTTGACGAGGCCGCCGTCGCGCACCTGCGCGCCCACGGCGTCGCCGCCGACAAGATCGCCGGGTACGAGCGCGCCGTCGCCGACAACCGCGACCTCGGCATCACGGCCCGCCGCGCCCTGGCCAACAAGCTCACGCCGGGCCACGAGGTCTACTTCAGCTGGGACGTGCCGCGCACGCGCGAGGGCTACTACCACTTCCGCGCGGGCATGCCGGCCGCGACCAAGCGCGCCCTCGCCTTCGCGCCCTACGCCGACCTCCTGTGGGTCGAGACGGGCGACCCCAACGTCGAGGTGGCGGCCAGGCTGGCGCGCGCCGTCCGCGCCGCCAACCCGGGCAAGGGGCTCGTGTACAACCTGTCCCCGTCCTTCAACTGGATGGCGCACGGCTTCTCCGAGGCGACGCTCAAGTCGTTCATCTGGGACATCGCGCGCGAAGGGTTCGTGCTGCAGCTCGTGAGCCTGGCGGGCGTGCACAGCACGGCGGCCATCACCAACGAGCTGGCGCGCGACTTCAAGCGCGACGGCATGCTGGCGTACGTCAACCTCGTGCAGCGGCGCGAGAAGGAGCTCGGCTGCGACGTGCTGACGCACCAGAAGTGGAGCGGCGCGAGCTACATCGACGGCATCCTGGGCGCCATCCAGAGCGGCAGCTCGAGCAGCAAGAGCATGGGCGACGGCAACACCGAGGGTCAGTTCCACTGAGCGGTAGCGTGTAGGGGGTGAGAATGGGCGATGGAGAGGATGTATGAAAGGGAAACTTTTTTGCTGGGAAGATATCAGAACGATCAAAGGAAAGTAGAAAGAGGCACTGTTGATATGTAAATCCTGTAGGGTGTGCTGCATGCGCTGCATGGAAAACGGCGTTTTTTATTTGGAATAGGCTTTTTCAAATGCAAAAAAGAATTCTTGATTAAATCCACATCCCACAATTGCAACGCGACACCTTGATGCGAACAGCCCATCGGCAAAGTAAACAGTCATTGCTCATAAACAGGGATCTTTCTATTCCATCTAAGAAGACAAAAACCCATCCTGATTGATCCCCCCGTTCCCGAATCAGACATCCCAGCCCACCCTCTACGCCAGGCTGGCATTGTTGACCGGCGCCTCGGTCGCGGGTCCCTCGGGGGTGACGTAGGCCTTGGTCATGCCGCCGTCGACGACCATGTCGTGCCCGTTGACGAAGCTGCTCTCGTCGCTGGCGAGGAACAGCACGGCCTGGGCCTGCTCGACGGCCTCGCCGAACCGGCCCGAGGGGAAGTGCACCTCGCGGCGGTGGCGCTTGGCGGCGTCGTCGCCGAGCCAGTCCTGCAGCAGCGGGGTGTTGAGCGGCGCCGGGCACAGCGAGTTGACGCGGAAGCCTTCGCGCGCGTGCACGATGGCCAGCTCGCGCGAGAGGGCGAGCACGGCGCCCTTGGAGGCCGTGTAGGCGAGCTGCGGGGTGGCGGAGCCGACGAGGGCGACGACCGAGGCCGTGTTGATGATGGAGCCCTTCTTCTTGCCGTGGCGGCGCAGGGAGGCGACGGCGTGCTTGCAGCCGTACCAGACGCCCTTGACGTTGATGTCCATGGTCAGGTCCCAGATCTCCTCGGGCGTGTTGACGGCGTCGTCGTCGCGCGCGTGCATGATGCCCGCGTTGTTGAAGATGACGTCGAGGCCGCCCCAGGCGTCGACGTGCTCGACCATGGCCTGCACCTGCGCCTCCTTGGAGACGTCGCACACGACCGTCTCGACGCGCTTGGCCGAGGGCACAAGCGTGAGCACCTTGGCCTTGGCCTTCTCGAGGGCCGGGGCGGAGATGTCGGCCATGAGGACGCTGGCGCCTTCGCGGGCGAAGAGGATCGAGGTCTCGAGGCCAATGCCGCTGTTTGGAGGGATCAGTACATCGGTGCTTTCACTGCAATGGGTTGGCTGTGGTGGGGTGGGAGAAGAACGTACCCTGCAGCTCCGGTGATGACGGCATTCTTGCCTGTGAGGCGGCCGCTGCCGTGAGCTACGCCGTTTGCTACTCCATTGGCTGCTCCGTTGGTGGCCATAGTTTCCCTCTGGTAGATCAGCCGGATATCGTCTGTTCTTCAATCTGTTCAGGAATGTGGTGGTGGCGGGGTTCCCGTGGTCTCCGTGCAGCTATCGTGAGGCGAGCGATAGATAAGAAAGGTGTTGTGGGAGAGGGGGCAAGAAAATGTGTTGAAGAAAGACTTTGAAAAGACCAAGGACTGTGCCTCTTCCTTTCCCAGAACAACAGGTGACAGGATCAGGATGAGGATCAGGATGACTCAAGAATAATTCAAGAGATGTGTGTCTCCTTGATGTAGCCACTGTAGCCACCACAGCTGCTCGACTGGACCCTCCCTCCCTCCACTTACTCAGGGTTTATCGACTTGTCCCACCATCATCGGACACTCAGATCTGCTAGACCCTTCCGACAACGGCGGTGGAGCCCGCGGCCCAGACCAGAGAGGGCCTTGGAGTTGGTGGGAGCCGCGCTCGCGGTGAAGCCATGTAGCTCCAGTCCATCCCGAGGTAGCGCGATACTTTGACCAGTGCCGGGCCTGTCAGCCAAGGCATCGGTATCTCTGCTCTTATCAACCGCGCACGCGGCACGCCCAACCATGGATACGCACATTATTCATGGCCCAACTATCACGGCAAGGAAAAGATGGAGGGGGGAGCGGTGAGGACACCATCTGCCGGACATCATGAAAAACATCCCGGGTTCTGTCACACTCCAGGTAGAGAAGAAAAAAGCATGCAGGCCAACTCAGCCCCAATTTGCTCGTGTTGCACTTGCAACAAAAGCCTGCGCTCGGGGTGCTTCCTTTTGGTGTCACTGCTTTGAACCACCCGCCCGCGCGCGCTGCCCGATATCGTCGAAGGCCCGTTGCATTGTGCGTCGCCACAGGCACTGGTTCTCAACATCTTTGCTGGTCACCTGCCCATGCGCCATGTGAGATCGGCACTTATTTGGGCCATCCCCGAGCCATTCACAGCAGTTGCTGTTAGCAAGCAATTGGGGTTGGTCTGATAGGAAGCATGCCAGTTGTTTCCGGCAGCGGCTGCTTTGCCTTTTGCGGCCGCAATGTACGGGTTTCCGGGGCCTAGTGGTAAGGTCGAGACCACATTTGGACACCCTAACAGACGGGGAAAAGGTGCGAAGCAAATCTAGTGGGCGGTGAAGGAGGCGAGAGGAGGATGACGAGAGACGAGAGGAGGGGAAAGGAAAGCTTGGCTGCACCATTGGCGATGAGCTTGATTCAAATACCCTTCCCAAAGGGTCTTTTAGCGATTATATAAGTACATATGCAGCAACACGACACGGGCGCACTGTCCCCCCACCTGCCGGGCGACAAAATATCGCTTGCATTAATCAATCTCGAAGCTGTTCGCAGCTGTCACATTTGACAAATGGTTGAAAGTGCATTTTGGCCCAGAGGATACGAACATGGCGATTCGTTCGACGGGCCAAGTGTACATACCTTAGGTACCTACCTAGGTAGGCTCAGGGCCGCCCCGCGTGAAGAGTGATGACGACAGTGCCCCCCCCCCCCCCTCAGCGCGGCATGGGAGCCCTGTCAGCGGCAAAGACGCTAATTGGCCCGCTGGACAGCAGCTTATCGCGTGCACCAAAGGCGCCCTCGCAGCTGGGTTTGGGGGAGCTCCCAGCTGATTGTGAAGCCTCGTGACGTGGTATCTCTCAGACGTCTCTCCGCCCTGACGACCTTGATACTTGCCAATACACACACAAATCTACAGTCAGAGCAGGATTCGGGGACTCGGCCAGGCGATACCACGGCGCCATCACGACACAGCTCCAACCATTGAACCGCCCACTCTTAGCAAGCTCCATCACCACGTAGACATCTTCTCGAGCTCGATACATCGTAGGCCTGGATCTACCCTCCCATCGTAGCAAACCGCCAACGACCATCGAGATGGCGCCCTCCAAGACGGACCCCAAGCCCGAGGACATCACCGCCGAGTCCCTGCCGGATCTGCTCGCCAATGACACCAAGGTCAAGCTCGGCGGCGTCGACGTCGACGGCATCATGCGTGGCAAGCTCGTCTCCAAGTCCAAGTTCCTCTCCATCGCCGCCTCCGGCTTTGGATTCTGCTCCGTCATCTTCGGCTGGGACATGCACGACATGACCTACATCCGCGAGCTCAAGGTCAGCAATAAGGAGAATGGCTACCACGACATCCTCGCCGTCCCGGACCTCAGCAGCTTCCGACGCATCCCCTGGGAGAACGACGTGCCCTTCTTCCTCGTCAGCTTCTATGACCCAGACACCAAGGAGCCCATCTGCGCCTGTCCGAGGGGCCTGCTGAAGACGCAGCTTGAGAAATTTGAGAAGGGAGGCTACGGTGCCATGGCTGGAGGTAGGGAAATATGTTATGATGTACCATGTCTATGAAGAATGGCATACTTACTTATGGCGCACAACTTGTCCCAGCCGAGTACGAGTTCTACCAGTTCAAGACGCCCTCGGACGCATCCGACTCCTCGTCCACCACCTCCACAGCAGCCTACCTCCGCGACAACCCGCCGCACACCCTGCCAGCCCTGACCGAGGGCATGTTCGGCTACAGCCTCACCCGCCCCGTTCACAACCAGGACTACTACTACGACGTCTTCAACACGTGCGAGAGGTTCCGCTGCAACATCGAGGGCTGGCACACCGAGAGCGGACCGGGCGTGTACGAGGCCGCCCTCGAGTTCGGCGAGATCCGCGAGATGGCCGATCGCGCCTCCCTCTTCAAGCTGGCCGTCAAGTCCATAGCCACACGCCACGGCGTGACGCCGTGCTTCATGGCCAAGCCCAAGCAGGGGCTGCCGGGCAACAGCGGGCACATGCACGTGTCCATCGTCGACAAGTCCGGCAAGAACATGCTCGCGCGGGAGACGCGCGACGAGAACGCGCAGTGGGAGGACATCGCCTACCTGTCGGACCTGGGGCGGCACTTCCTCGCGGGCGTGCTCGACGGCCTCCCCGACGTCATGCCCCTCGTCGCGCCGACGGTCAACAGCTACAAGCGCCTCGTCGAGAACTTCTGGGCCCCCGTCACCGTCTCCTGGGGCCTCGAGCACCGCGCCGCGTCGATCCGGCTCATCGCGCCGCCGACCTCCAAGCCCGGCGCCACGCGCTTCGAGGTCCGCGTGCCCGGCGCCGACGCCAACCCGCACTTTGTGCTGGCGGCCGTCCTGGCGCTGGGCTACCGGGGGATCGAGAAGAAGCTCGAGGTCCCCTGCCCTCCCCTGGGCAAGGGCGAGGACGTCGGGTCCGAGTCGGACGCCGGCGTCCGGCTGGCCAAGGGCCTGCGCGAGGCGACGAGCACGTTCATGAGGCCCGGCAGCGTGGCGCGCGAGGTGTTTGGGGACGACTTTGTCGAGCACTTTGGCGGCACGCGCGAGCACGAGATCCGCCTCTGGGAGGAGGCTGTTACGGACTGGTATGTTTCCATCTTTCCTTCCCCCGGTGGTTCTAGATCGAGTGATGATTGCGCGTCCTCGGCCCTTTTTTTTTACTTTTTGTTGTCTGATTTTTACTTTGTCGTTTGAAACTCTCCTTGTTCCCTTGCTCGCTTTCCTTTTCCCGGGTTCTTTTTGTTGAAATCGGCAAGCTTGGACTAACCTGCGCGATTTCCTGTCGTCCTCACAGGGAGATGCGACGATATATCGAGACCGTGTAAAGTAAGAACGTTCTCGGCCTCCGAGGTTGTCCGCGAAAGGCGCGAAAGCTTAAGGGGAGGGTGGGCTGGAACCGGGGTCCTGGGAAGGTGTGCCTCTGGCACCTTTGTGTATTCGCTCTACTGGATACCCAGCATATCACACGGAGTTGGGAACTTTTTGGCGTATGCGTACGTATGCGGGTGGCATGTTCTCGACCCAGGCTATCTAGAGGTCTGGGATCGCCCGAGGGATCTAGAGCTACCTGTCTAAGTTTATCTGTTTCGAAACGCCGGCTCCGGCCACGAGTTGCTTGCCATGCCGGATTAGCACGTTGATATGCTTCGGCCCGTAAACCGGTGTCATTCCTAATCGGGCACTCTTCCGCCCAGCTTATGCCAGACCGGCTGTGATGCTACAAGGAGAGGGCCTCGCTGGGAGGACGCACATGGGTGCTCGATGATGCGAGTGCCACAGAGCAGGAAACTCTCTCATGACTGCGTGGACATCGAAACAGACACTGCACATCGAGGAAGAGTTTGGCAAATATCTACATGGAAAGGTTGAGGTGAGTTGCTGGTTTTCTCAGGAACCGCTTAGAGGCAGCTCAGTTCCTCTCATTCAGCAACCCGGCATCTACCGGGGCGGTTCACACGCCCTCGTGTCTTTTCCCCTGACAACGTCCCGGCGGGCCCGCAGTTCCCATCCCCAAGTGTCAATCAAGTCAGGGCCGGGGAACCCCCATGGGAGCATCCGCCGTCTCGGACACTGACAACTCAGCACTAATGCAAGTAATTAACGCCAGTCTCCTGAGGATGCTACAGCCCACGAGCTTGAAGTGGTTTAATCTTCTCACTTTGAAACTCAAAGTTCAAGTCTAGTCCTCTCGCTTCTTTGTCACCCAGAGTTGAAGTCTGGTCTTCCCCCTTCGAAACCCAAAGTTGAACCAGAGTAACCACAAACTCTCGAGAGTGCCTGCGTGCTAGTCTGCAGATGATGGCCGAAGCTAAAGCAGCTCCGATGCATCCCTGGCATCTATCAGCACCTTCCGACGCCTCGGTGAACTTACCTAGGTATCGCGCTTGGCCAAGTGTCGAAACCCTCCTTCTCGAGAGTTCGAGATGTGCTTCCCCCGACTGCCATCTCCTCCTGCGTGCCACGCAAGCACCGCCAGCACGGCCAAACTCTGTTGAGGAGCCAGGTGCAAGATGCTCAGTCGTCCGCCGGCGACGAGGCAGGCTCTTTGGAGAGCGATTCGTCTATAAAAGGCCGCGGTTCTGCTCCCCTTTCGAGATTCTCGTTTCTTCAGATCATCCTCTTCAGATCAGTTCAGTGCCTCTTCAGATCAGTCTCTTCAGATCCGCCTCTCTTCAATTCAGTCTCTCTTCAGATCAGTGTCTCTTCAAAAGTCTCCCTTGAGCCGAAACTGCTTCAGAGCATCCTCTCGCCAGACCTTCTTCCTATCGACTGACACTGAGCACTGAATTATCAACCGAAACCGAGCACTGAATTATCAACCCGGGCATATCATCAACCAACCAACCAAAGCCTATCGTCAAGCAACCAACCACAATATGTATCAATTGTGGTTCCTGGTCCTGGCCCTCACCTTCTTCTGCGTGAAGGGTGCTGTGGTCGAACATCGCGATACTCCGAGTGTCACGGCTCGACACTCTCAAGACCAACCCCGGGCGGGCGCGGTCACGCCGGCACCTGCCGTCCAGAAGCGCGACCCCGAAGATCCTTCCGAGGAGCAGAGACCGCCCAGTGCGATGCAGGCTAGCGAGGAGCGCGTGGAAGGGTATGACTGGGAGCCGTACCAGCCGTTGACGATCACGATTGTCAACCGGTACCACGTGCCCATTAGCACTTCGCACGTGCACAACTGGGGGTTCCCGGATCCGATCGGCGGCGAGAAGACGCCCGGCCTGATGCAGCCGAGGGAGACGGACCGCTTGGTCGTCCCGACGGGTTGGGCGGGCAACTTTGCCTTTGTAGACGCTCGCTACCAACCCGGTCCCGATGACTCGCTCATCGAAGCGTCGTTCGAGTCCGTCTGGGGTGGAGAAGCCTTTGCTGACGTGGACGTCTCCTTCGTGTAAGTGACCAAACCTATCTCTCTCATCAAACATTCTGAACACCATGAAGCATGGAAGGCTGACTTGGCTCCCCTCTCGCTCGCCAACAGGAACGGGTTCAGTCTACCCGCGGTATGCAAGTGTGACCGCCAGAAGAAGCTGTCGGGCTGCGGGGTCAACCTCTGGTCGGAGAACAACTGCGACGGCTGGAACTGGAACGGCGCGTGCCCCAATCCGTCGCGCGAGGACCACGACCGCGCGCTGGCCCGGCCCGGAGACTTCTTCGTGCCGTGCCAGGGCCAGGCCTACACCTTTCCCGGCGACGATGTGGCCAACAGCTTTGGCGAATGCCAGAGGGGCCATATTGTCTGCTGCATTGGCGAGGACCGGCTCTGCGAGGATGAGTGGGTATGAGAGGCGCCGCCGTGGGGGCTCCGACACAGGGACCGTTCAGAGACGCCTGCGTCCTGAACACCTGCGTCCTGAACACGCCGAGACCGTTCAGACACGCCCACGCCCTGAGCATGGCGAGGCCGTTGGGTTACGCCCGCGTCCTGAGCACGGCGATACAGTTCAGACAGGCCTGTACGATCTCATCACGGCGAGGCCGTTCAGAACCGCTTCAGTCCAGACCGCCTGCGTCCTGAGCATGGCGAGGCCGTTGGATTACGCCTGCGTCCTCAACACGGCGAAGCAGTTCAGACAGGCCTGTACGATCTCATCACGGCGAGGCCGTTCAGAACCGCTTCAGTCCAGACCGCCCGCGTCCTGAGCACGGCGAGGCCGTTGGGTTACGCCCGCGTCCTCAACACGGCGAAACAGTTCAGACAGGCCCGCATGTCCTCAACGCGGCGAGGCCGTTCAGAACCGCTTCAGTCCAGACCGCCCGCGTCCTGAGCACGGCGAGGCCTTTGGGTTACGCCCGCGTCCTGAGCACGGCGAAACAGTTCAGACACACCCCGCGTCCTCAACACAGCGAGGCCGTTGAGCTACGCCCGTGTCGTGAACATCCTAAGCATTTGCGGGAGTTTTTGGGTTTTCTTTTTTTTTCTAGGTTGCATATCGCCTTGGGTCCCAGAAAAACGGGTATTTGTCTGGAGTTTTTTTGTCATTTGGTGCACATATCTTGATTTCAGATCGAATAGAATTTTGGTGGTGGCTTAGGTGAGGATAGAAAATAAAAGTTTTAGAGCTGAATGCATCGCATTCTCGCCCAAACGTGCCTGGTGAGACAGAGAGACTTCCCGGATTGTGACTTGCACATGTACGAGTACAACCCTGGAAGTCCAAGTACAAGTACGGAGTAAATGGGCATTTCCTCGGCGACACCAAGACTTCAGTCAGCCAGTGAGCCAGTGTGCCCAATGCCATGCATCTCTGCGGACGTGGCTAATCTCTGCAAGCTGACAGGACGGATAAGCACATCTGCGCTCCACTTTATTTTTTTCTGCAAAGCTAATCAGTGATAAGATTGTTTGAAAAAAATTTGGAGGGGGAACTCGGGAGGGAAGTGGAGAGGGCTGGAGGCATTGGGGCGGGCGCCGCCACGGTTGGCAGGGCGTGGCAGGGGGAGAAATGCCCAAGGGACCCGCTGTCAGATACCCACTGCCAAAAATTTATAGTGATGTTATCGCATTGTGTCCTCCCCTCCATTCTCCCTCGCATTCTGCAAAGAAAAAAAAAAAGGGCAAACCCACGCCCCCGTCTCCGTCTCTGCGCTTCACTCTTGTTGTCGCTGCTTCTCCTTCCTCTGCGTGGGCTTGCCAGGACACACTACTCTGAGAATATACTCTAGAACATGCCGCATCCTGTCTCGCCGCCCATGCATCCTCTGCCAACCGTCGCCAAACCCGGCGAACCCCCACCGGTGCCTTCTCAGGCTGACATCTCGGCCATTCTCAACACAGTCTTCACGGCGCCGACTTCCAACGCCTCCATCGATGCCTCCTATGGCCTGTGCGAACTCTTCCTGAACAACCCGGCCGTCGGTTTCCGTGGTCTGCAGACCTACGGTGTCCTGGCCGAGATCAAGAAGGCCGCGAGCGACAAGAAGAGCGGCCTGCGCCGAGAGAGCGCGCAGAATCTGCTGGGTGCCATCTTCGAACGCTTCCCTCCCAAGCAGCCCGTCAGCGAGGTCATCCTTCTCCTCCAAGATGGCGGCGTGGTGAGCACGGCCCTCGACGCCCTCTCCGACAAGGGCTCTGTCGTGCGCGATGCTGCTCAGTATGGCCTCGACGCCCTCTTCGGCCACCTGAGCCCCGAGGCCCTGGTCGTCGGCCTCCTGCCCGCCCTCGTTGCCTATCTCGAGAAGAAGACTGGCAAGTGGCAGGGTACCGTCGGCGCCCTCAAGCTGATGCAGAAGATGGCCGACAAGGCCAAGCTGGAGATTGGTGGAACAAAGGAGGACGCCCTCGAGAAGGATATCCTCCGCGAAGCCATGGGCACCAAGCTGGCCCGCCTGATCCCTATCGTAGAGGGTGGTATGCACGATCTCAAGGCCGACGTCGAGAAACAGGCCGTCCACACCATGAACTCTTTGACGACCCTCCTCTCCAACGACGATGTCGCTCCCCGCATTCCCCTGCTCGTCGACACGCTGCAACATCCCTCACCTCAGTCTCTGCAGAAGGCGATCCACGCCCTCTCCCAGACCACCTTCGTCGCCGTTGTCACGTCTCCAGTGCTCGCGCTGCTGACGCCCTTCCTCGAACGCTCGCTCAACAGCCCCAACACGGCGCAAGAGGTTCTGCGGCAGACTGTCGTCATTGTCGAGAACTTGACCAAGCTGGTGCACGACCCCATCGAGGCCCGAACCTTCTTGCCCAAGCTGCAGCCCGGTGTCAAGAGTGTCGTCGACCGAGCCTCCCTCCCCGAAGTCCGCGAGCTGGCCACCCGCGCCATGAACGTCATGGACAAGGCCATGGCTATGGACAAGGCTGATGTCTACGAGCGCACGGTGGGCGATGATGTTGCCAAGGTTCTCGACGTCGAAATCCGGAAGAACGGCGGACTGGCCGGCGACCTCGACACTTACAAGGTGCTCAGGCCTTATATCTGCGACATGGTGGCTGAGGATGTCAACCATCGCCATATCACTAGGATCGGGGCGAGAATCACCCCCTACCTCCAGGGGCTCATGCAGAACGCCACCGCACACAGCGACGTTGGTGCCGCAGTGCAGCAGTTCTATCTCGAGGAGGACCACCGAAAATACGGAGTGCCGGAGAAAGAGGACGATGGCGAGGTTGAGATTGTCAACGCAGACTTCTCCCTGGCCTACGGCGGCATGCTTCTCCTCTCGCATACCAACCTGAGGCTGCTGAAGGGCCACCGCTACGGCCTCGTCGGTCGCAACGGTGCAGGGAAGTCCACCTTGATGAAGAGTATTGCCGGTGGCAAGCTGGAGGGTTTCCCGCCCCAGGATGTGCTCCGAACATGCTACGTCGAGCACAACCAGGGTGAGGATGCCGACATCAGCATTCTCGAGTTCGTTTCCAAGGACCCTACCATTGCCAAGGAGGGCCAGGAGCGTATTATTCAGGTCTTGGAAGAGGTCGGTTTTACATCGGGACCCGAGGGCCGCCAGTCGCACAAGGTTGGCTCGCTTTCTGGTGGTTGGAAGATGAAGCTGGCTCTGGCTCGTGCCATGCTGCAGCGCGCCGACGTCCTGCTGTTGGACGAACCTACTAACCATCTTGATGTCGCCAACATCAAGTGGCTCGAGAACTACCTCAAGACGCACACCGACATCACCAGCTTGATCGTCTCCCACGACTCTGGTTTCCTCGACGAGGTCACCACCGACATCTACCACTACGAGCCTGGCAAGAAGCTCGGTCACTACAAGGGCAACCTAGCTGCCTTTGTCGAGATCAAGCCCGAGGCCAAGAGCTACTACACCCTTTCTGCCAGCCAGGTCCAGTTCAAGTTCCCGCCCCCTGGTATCCTGACCGGCGTCAAGTCTTCGACCCGTGCCATCATCCGCATGAGCAACGTCTCCTACACCTACCCCAAGGCTCCCAAGCCCTCTCTTGCCGAGGTTTCTTGCCAGCTTTCACTCTCCTCCCGCGTCGCCGTCATCGGCCCCAACGGTGCCGGCAAGTCGACTCTCATCAAGCTTCTGACTGGTGAGGTTATCCCCACCACCGGCAAGGTCGAGAAGCACCCCAACCTGCGTATTGGTTACATCAAGCAGCACGCGCTCGAGCACGTCGAGATGCACCTTGAGAAGACCCCCAACCAGTACCTGCAGTGGCGGTATGCCCACGGTGACGATCGCGAGGTGCATATGAAGCAGACTCGCATGGTCTCGGACGCGGACCGCGCTCAGATGGAGAAGTTTATCGATGTGGGCGAGGGCAAGGGCCAGCGCCAGATCGAGGCGCTTGTTGGACGTCAAAAGTACAAGAAGACGTTCCAGTACGAAGTGTAAGTTGCAGCAAATCCCCCACCCCACTTGATATTTTTCGGGACTTTTACTGACGGCGCGAACAGCAAATGGAAGAACATGCTGCCCAAGCACAACTCGCAGTTCTCCCGCGAGACCCTCCTCGAGCTCGGCTACGACAAGCTGGTTCAGGAATTCGACGACCACGAGGCCTCGCGCGAGGGTCTGGGCTACCGTGAGCTCCAGCCCTCGGTCATCTCGAAGCACTTTGAGGACCTGGGTCTCGACCCGGAGATCGCCAACCACAACGAGATCGGCTCCCTGTCCGGAGGCCAGAAGGTCAAGGTCGTGATCGCGGGTGCCATGTGGAACAACCCGCACTTGCTGGTGCTCGACGAGCCGACCAACTTCCTGGACCGCGACTCGCTCGGCGGCCTGGCCGTCGCGATCCGCGACTTCAAGGGCGGCGTGGTCATGATCTCCCACAACGAGGAGTTCGTGGGCGCGCTGGCCTCGGAGCAGTGGCACATCAACGACGGGCGCATGACGCACAAGGGCCAGGCGGCCATCTCGATGGACCGCTTCGAGGACGGCGGCAGCCGGCCAGGGTCCGGGCTCGCGACGCCCAGCAACGGGTTCGCGAGCCCCGTGCCCAGCAGCAGCGTCGTGTCGAGCGCCGTGCAGAGCGCCGTCAACTCGGGCGCCGAGGACAACTCGGAGATGAAGTTCCGCGCGCGCAAGAAGAAGAAGAAGACCAAGAAGGAGCTCAAGGAGCAGGAGGTCCGCCGCCGGCTGCGGCACATCGAGTGGCTCAACAGCCCCAAGGGGACGCCGCACCCGCCTGATACGGATGACGAGGATAATTAGCTGGGTGGTATGATGTTTGGGGCTTTGGGTTGATGGGGCTGGCTGGAGTGTGTTTTACCTTTTGGCGGTTTTCAATAGCATGGGCCAGAAACAGATTCTGTCCTTGGTTTCTGAGTCGAGCATCATCATAGATATTAGAGGAGGGTGGACAGACCAGACAACCGTCCGAGTCTCGCACTCTTGCATGGGTCCCTCGTTCTTTTGGGCTAGAAAACGGCGTTTCAACATAGATAGGATCATAAAAGCATTTTCATTTTCGCTCCATGAATCATCGTCGAGGCATGCGTGTTGCGATATTGCCAAGTGGTGTTATGGAAGAACAAACGTATTTTGCTTCATGCTCGGGTATGATTACAAACTAACAAGTGCAGAAAGATATTTTCCACATCTTGCTTCATATACGGTCTAGACACGTTCAGAAAGAAAGAAAGCCAAACTCCCCGCTCATAAAAATAAAAGGTCGAGCAAAAAGGTAGTCGCTCGCATACAAAGGCATCGATCGTTCCGTGCGTTGTTGTATCATGTCATATCATGTCGTTCACATAAAGACGATCCCCATCTAGATATCGTGGCCTGTTTCATCCCCATGGTCAGTCACTTGTTATCATCACACTGAGATGCGACAAGAGAGAGAAAGCACTCACGTCCGAGGGCCTTGCCGCGCTTCGACACCTCCTTGGCGTGGAAGGCCTTGATCTTGGCCCGGCGCGCCTCCTCCTTGGCCTCGAGCTCGAGCTTGCGCACCTGGTCCCGCGCCTCGCGGACCTCGCGGCGCGCGACGTCGAGCGCGCGGTCGGCCTCGCGCTCGGCCGTCTCGGCGCTCAGCACGCGCTCGCGCGCCTGCACGATGCTGGGGTCCATGTCGCGGTCGCCGTGGCGGTGGAGCAGGCCGCCGCCGCCGGACCCGATGCTCGAGCGGCCGCTGGCGGCGTCGGTGGAGCGGCGGAAGATGCCGCCGCCGGAGGAAGCGGTGGCCTCGCGCGGCGGGCTGGGCGAGTGCCGCGAGTGGTGGGTGCCGCTGGAGCGGGAGAAGCGGCTGGTGGAGTGGTTGGTGGCGGCGGCGACGGGGGGCGGGGAGGGCTCGCGCTTGGAGCCGAAGAGGCCGTGGCGCTTGGGGCGCTCCTCGTAGGCGGGCTCGACGTGCACGGGCTGGGCCTCGGGCTCGGTGTGGCGGGAGAAGAGAGGCATGGCTGCTGGTTGGATGATGTGTGTGGTATGTGGTGTTCGGATTTGGGTGCAAGATGCGTGTAAGTGGGTGTAAGTGGATGCTGAGAGGGCTTGGCTTTGCACTGGCGATGCTTGGAAAAAGCTTGGAAAGACTTGTGATGGAGAAGAGAGGGGACACGAAATCGGAAAGAACGGCAAGTCTGTCTCTATTTGAACCCATTCGACATGCACTGAGCGAAAAACAACCACACCTTTTCTCCGTTTCTTGTTCCAAAACCCTGATTTTCTTGATGATAGACCCCTTCTTTCTTACCGCTGATCCCAAAAGTCCCCACTGACGTCAGGCGGGAGTGCGGGCTCAGCATCGCGGGAGACCCCGCTGTCCAATGGGGCGCCGGACGGTGACGCCAGTGGAGCCGAGACCCCTAGGATTCAGCCAATATGCAGGGTCCGACAGCCTGGACTTGCGGTCATCAAATTCCACGCATTATGCCACCGTGCATGCCGGTCTGGGACGATGATAGCATCACACCGGCAGGGGTTGTCCTCGCTGGAGGGGAACACGACTGTCCGTCCATGGTTTCCTTGGCACGTAGCGTGCCCGTAGCGTGTTGTTTCGACACGAGGGCCACACACCACATCAGAGGGAAAGGAGATTGCCTTTTTGCGCAACGAAGAAGGACGCTGGTATGGGTGACATCAGGGGCATGCTGCTTCTCGAGATGTTTTGGCTGTGCACATGTCGAATCTCCCGCACGAATCTCGGAGGAATGCATGGCGATGTCACCAAGTGCTGGACGGAGCGATATCGAGTGTGCATGTCCAGATGCAGGAACGCACCGAAGAGATAGTCGTGCTCATGACGATCAATTCACGAGTCAAGTCAGTCAACGAGAATATATTCGACAAAAGCACTTTCTCATCAGAAAATATGAGAGATTAACTCATTGCATCATGATGTACTGTAGCCTGTTGATGAGCTGACATAACACAAGTAGGCCCGGCGAAAGCTCGGACCACCATTTTGGGTATGTACCACGTGACACCCTTACTCTGCCTTGGCTTCCTAGTTGGGAAAGTCGCGTTTGCAGCTTTTTTGGCAGCTGCGCGTCCATTGAGCTAAGATAGCTGTTTCCTCCAGCCAGTCAACCCAAACCAGCCTTGGAGCTTCGTATCACCACCTTGGCCCCCAGCCTTGACCCACGAACATTGGACAGACAGAGCAATATACCAACGTCACAATGTCCTCCCGTTATCGGTCGACCTCTCGTCCCCGGGACGACGACCGTTCGCCATCCAGAGATCGATCGCCTACCCCGCGCCACGACCGTTCCAGATCCCCCAGACGAAGCCCTTCGCGCAGTCCCTCCCGCGGCTCCCGCTCCCCCTCACCGCGCCGGAATGGCAGATACCGTGATAGCCGGAGCCCAAGCAGGAGTAGGAGTCGAGACAGGGAGAGTCGAGGCAGGAGCCGTACGCGCAGCGTCACACCAGCCACGCGTAGCACCAAGGTGAGTGCGCCTCGCCGTGAACGAGCCATCTGCCCAAAATTGACCAAGACCAAAATGCGGACAGGTTGTCGTTGAGCGCCTGACCAAGAACGTCAACGAGGGGCACCTACGAGACATTTTCGGCCAGTATGGCGAAATCGAGGACCTCGACCTGCCCATGAACCGTAACTGTAAGCACTGCACCTGTTTTGCACCCGGCTGTCTGGGGTTGCAGCCGGAGCTGCGCCGCACTCGACTGCACCCGCCAAGAGGTCAGGCAAGGCTGACTTGCATATTGTATAGTCAACACCAACCGCGGCACAGCCTATATACTATACGTCCACGAGGCCGACGCGGAATCTGCCATCGCCCACATGCACGAGGCGCGCATCGACGGCGCCACCATCAACGTCTCCATCGTCCTGCCCAAGCGCAAGTTCTCGCCCGAGCCCCCAACGGCCCGCCGCGGCGCAAATTTTGACCCCAGGGGCCCCCCGCCTGCATTTAGACCAGGTGGAGGAGGCCCGGGACCCTTTGGAGGTGGCGGAGGCAGGGGCCGCGGCCCCCCCGGTGGCGGAGCCGGTGGTGGAGGTCGCTTCGGCCCACGATCCGATACTTGGCGCCCGCAATCGCGTTCTAGAAGCAGGTCCCGATCGCCAGTGGGTGAAGGCAGGACCAGGTACCGCAGCAGGTCGCCCTACTCCAACAGGTCGCGGTCACGGTCGCCCCCGAGGCGCAGGGGTGGGGGTCGACGGAACGACAACGACAACGACAGCTTTGATAGAGGACGGCGCAGTCCGAGTAGAGAGAGCTATAGCAGCTACGGTCGCCGCAGCCGGTCGAGAAGTCGGAGCCGAGGGAGAGGAGAGAGGGTTTACCGTTGAGCATAGCATCCGACACCCGTCCAAGCCATGCTCAACATTGCTATTTATTCCCCCGCGGATGTTCGGTGTCAAGTCGAGATGCACGATCAGTCCATTGGTGAGTTGGGCATTCCCTTCCATAATTAACTCTAGCTAACTCTATTGTCTCTAGAAGAGTGTTGTCAAATCCAACTCTCGGTCATGTCGAGATTCCGACCGGTCCCGGTCGGCCAGATGGTCTCGCTTGGCGGCTTCGACTGATCTGCATAAGCACCGCTAGAATGTAAGCACGAAGTGTCTCTTCCCTCGAGATTTGTCTAGTCGCGCGCACCACTATGTCAGCAAGATACCCAATTGAATTGTTTGAGGGGAAAATAGATGTCCCACTTACACATATCCTTGTTCTTATTGTGGATTTGTTGGTGATTGATCCCTCGCAGTCTTTAGTCAGCGGGTGCACGATTTTCCCTTTTTAGTCCTACTGCGCAGCTCGCTGAGGCTTTGAAATCGCAGCCTCGCTGTGGTTGCAGTCTCATTGCTCTGCTCACGGACAAAACTAAACCGATTGCAACTTGCCATTGGACGATGAAGTCCCGGGTTGCTACTGACGAAGCATGTGGATTCTCACCCCAGACTCGGCTCGAGTCTTGAGTTGAGCCGGTGCCTTTCTGACAAGCTATCTCAATGCCAAGCGCTTACACACATTCTTCTGCTGGGCCTGCTGTGATGCCATCATCTGCAGCGATGCTGACTGCGTCATGGCTGTCTCAGATGAGGATATAAATTGTTGGCGGTGGCCTTGTCGGCTGGGATCTTTTGAAAATCTGCCTTGCTGTCTCATAAGCGCTACCTGTCTTGCAGTGTTACATCCACCTTGACTCAAGCAGTCACTATCTCTATCACGTTTCACGAAACACCTGCCAAATTTACCAACAAAGGCAAACAAACAGCCTCCATGGCCACTGCCCCGTCCCCGCTTCCCCGACGCGTCGTCGAGTCGAACCAGGCAGCTCCCCTGCCTCGTGATGGGTCTGTCACCGAGCCAGGCGTCGACATCGAGGTGCAGGAACTCGAGCCGGTCTCCGAGTTTGGAGGCATCTTGGCGCGAGCCCGCATTGCCACGCACGACACCATTCCGGCCGTAATCGAAGCAGGCCCCTCGTGAGTATCCACCTATACGCGGCGGGGGAAGTCGATACCTTGTCCCGGTCGATGTCAGATGATGAGCTAAAGGCCATGGTGGTCCAGCGTCGAACTTGTCCATGTCCCCGGGGTCGTGCACCCGGGTGGAGCTCACATCTACTATCTGGACCTTGCTCCCAGGGCTGAGACGCCTATGGTATGTGCTGCGCCTCGCCCATCCGATATCAAGACTTGGCTCGGGAGACACCTTGATTGTTTCTTGCAATACCCTGTGCTGACTGTGATCCAAACTCGCACAGCATCGTACCGAGTCCGTCGACTACATCGTCGTGCTCAAGGGACTTCTGACTGTTGTCACGCCCCCAAGGGCCTTCTCCGTATCAGACGGCAAGGGTGGATTTGAATCAGTCGAGACTGTCGTTCGAGAAGGAGATGTGCTGGTTCAGCGTGGGGCGATGCACCGGTAAGTAGGGTATGACTCTTTGGCCGGCGACGCCCAGCCTTCTCTGGGGGAGGCGGGGGCGCATTCGCTGTGGGGACCGAATCAGGGACATCTACACGGGGTTCCAGGTTGCTGGGAACCTCTTTTAGTGGTCTGTGACGCAAGAAAAGCTAATTAAGATGTAGCCTGGCCAATCGGACCGACGAATGGGTGCGATCGATTGCGATTGTGCTGTCTGCAAAGCCGGCGGAGGCTTCCGTGGGGGGAAGAGGAGAGACGAAGCAATTGACGGAGACTTGGCTCCAGTGAGAAAAAAGATGGGGAAATGGACGGGATGGGAGTCACTCAGTCGGGGAGGGTCGAGGCAGTGAGGAAGACTGTTGTGCCAAATCCGGAAATAGACCGGCTTGGTACTTGTGCAAGAACGGCAACTTTCAGCGACTTAGACGCAGCAGAAAAGAGCCAAGGAGGAGAAAAGGGAGTGTGGGATGCAAATGCAATGCAACCAAGGGAAAAAGAAGACGTCACGTCCACGGAGTGCAATGTGGCTCGTGTTTCGGTCAGCCCTACGAGAGGCGTGAGATGCGCCCGCTTGACAGCCCAATCACAGGGGTGTGTAACGTAGCCACTGCTTTGGATCGTGGGAGGAGAGAGCGTGCGTCTGTCTGCAGCCGCTGGTTGATGCAATATCGCAGATCTCGCATTTCTGCTATTGCTTCGGCCTCATGCTGCTTTGGGGACTGGCGGCCGTGGGTGGCGGCGTGAGACCGATGACTGGGTCCGGCCGGCGCCGAGGGCGATACGAGTATCTGCAAATGATGATGACCTTACTGTTACTGGGTGATGTCTGTACGTCGACTTGTGTAAGTGCGTTGAGGTCGAGGATGGGTACTCTCGAAAATGATAATCTACAGTTGGTATGGTGTATCATGTGTGATGTCCGGCCCATCGAGAGAGCAGCAAACAATCTAGATCCTCAGGCGCTGAGTGCCCTCCCTCCCGGTTCAAATGGTCTCTCTTCGGTTTGGCAGAGGGAGAATCGAACGAAATGCCTTGTTGCCAGCTTTCCCACTCCTCTTGGTTGGCTTCACATGACTGATCGGAGCATGGATGCAGATCAGGCAACCACCCCTCCCCTGGTGGGGGAGGAGTGAATTGGTGGGCTTGCTGGCCTGTGCTGCACCTAAGCCTCAATCAATCGCAGCCGCTGTGCCGCAACCCAGCCAAAACCTCGTCCCATCTGCCCCAAACGTCTACGCCATCTCATCTTTCTTTTGACGTCCAATATGAGTGAACGTCTCTCTCGACACGAGGCGTTTCCCTTTCCAAGAATACACTTGTTGCACTACTGCCGCCGGAGGGCCATCGTCGTCATCGTCATCATGTGAGGACAAATCACTGGCTGCCCTCGCACACCATCCTCGCCATTCGGGACCGTCCCAAATACCAGCCTACATTCGCGCGTAGTCATCTGCAGCTGCAAGAAGCTCCGGGTCTTGGTGTTACGGACGAGAGAGTCTCTCGGCCATCCGGTATCCATGGCATCTCAATCTCACCCACATACACGACCTTCTGGGACCTGCCTACGTCCCTGCTTCTGTGAACCCACCACCGTCCGTCCCGACAACCCCTGGAGCTTGTCAAGTGACAGGTTGTCGAGCTAATGTAGTCAATGGCTACCTGATTTGCCCAGTTTCTTTCTGTTTCTCTTGTGTTGCCTTCCTCTTCTTCCCCTTTGCCCTGCCTTGTCAACCTAGCCAAGGCTGGCTGGCGGCGCCGCTTAACCGGTCCCTCTCCTCGTTACCACGCTTTCGGTTCTCGGGGTTACTCCAAAGCTCTCAATCTAGCTCCCCTGTGCTGTCTCCTCATACCATTCCGCGATCCTTGTGTCACAGCTTTGCTTCCTCGCAGGCCATTCGTCACCGACCTCTCTGCCGGTGGGGCTCTCCGAATCGTGACCCTCTCGTGCCTGATGAATGGGTTCCTGTCTCTCAACTCTCCCGTTGTCTCTTCGTGTCTCTGTCTCGCTCTTCTCCGTGTCTTCCTCTCAGTCTCTCTCCCGGGCGAGATCCACCTTGTGCCTGCCTACCCCCCCACTGAAGGCAGAAACCACCTCTCCAACATGGATGGGTTGCTGTTTAATTCTGTCTGCCCTCGTACTCCTTTCCTCTTTCATCTCAGGTTGCCGGCCGTAGACTTACACGAGCTAGTCATCCGCCGGTCCCCCCCCCCCGGTCCGCATGTGTGGTTCGCGGTCCAAGACTACCTGTGTACAAGACGAGGTTCTTGCGAAGGATGATGGCCTCTGGTCGCATATACGGCCGACAAGCAGATGAATCAGAGGGAAGTGCCGGTATTGCGGCACGACGCATTTGGGGTCCCTTTCACTTTCTTTTTTTGTATCGTCGTTTTCCTTTCTGACCTCTCGGCGTGCCTGCTGAGCATCATCTCTCGACCCGTTGTACCACTTGCCCTGCCCTCTTTTATTATTGTCCGGGTGGACAGATCTGCGTCTGTGCCTGGCCACGGGCCCTAGGGGAAGGCTGCAATGACTCCATCCCGGGCTCTCCTCGAGGGTTTCATGGAAGATGGGCCTGTCTCTCGTCCCCAAACCTAGCAAAGGTCTGTATATAAAGGTGGGTTGAGGCTTCTTCCTCGAACGGAAAGGATCTCACGATGCAAGTCCATCATCCTTTTTCATCATCATCATCATCATTGTCATTATCGTCAACACCCATCAGCCCTCAAGTAAACAACAGCAGAGACTTATACACAAGTCAACAGTCTACTCGTCACTTTTGCTACCAAGCAGACTTATCGACACGTTCATCCAGCTTTGGGTTGATAGCACCTAGCTAGCTTGCACTCTTTGTTTGCTTCTTGTACCACCTGCGGGTACACGCTTTCCCGTCTCTTGCCCTATCTCCCACATCCCACATCACATCACCTTGTGAATCGTTACTCTCTCTCCCCCATTGTTGTCGATTCACCTCCAAGTCACCTAGTGCTTGACCGCTTCTCACAGCCTTTTCGTCATGGCTTCCCTCTACCTAGCTCGAGAGGCCGCCCTGGCACATCCATGCCAGACCAGCGCGGCTCCTCGAGACATCAACCTGCAGCAGGACCTTGTTCCAGTCGGACAAGACCCTGGCTACGACACCTTGGCAGAGCACGAGTTGCCACCACAAGGCTCCCCAAGTGAGGCAGACTTCTCCGCCTTCTTCAGCCCTGTGTGCTTCCCCCGCCCAGCACCGCCGCCCTCCCCACCGGGGCGTCCCCGTCCAGGCCCGCTTCCCCCAGGTCCAGGCAACCCCACCCCGCCGCACACTCCACGCCGTGAGGCGGAAGTGAGCGCCTTCTGGTTCGCCGACCATGGCTCCTGCTCATGGGAGCGGGAGCTCTACTAAGCGTCCGCCGTCGTCGATGAGGGCGGACACGAGTCCACCGGCTGCGATGATGCAGCACCACCACCAACAACAACAGAAATCACCACCGCTGGAACCACCAAAGCAGCCGCAGCAGAAATACAAGATCAAGCGCCGTCCCGTGCCGGGGTCGTGGCCGACGGCGGAGCAGGAGCCCGCCGCCCCCGAGCCGGCTCCCCCGCCGAGCATCGAGCTCACGGCCCCGGCGCCAGCGCCAGCAACTGCCTCTGCTGCAGCCCAAGAGCCGCGCCGCGGTATGGAGGGTGCGACCGGGGAGGCTTCGAGCGGCGCGCCACCGACGCCGCTGCCGGCGATGGAGTTTCGCTGGTACTGCGACATGTACCCGCTCCACCCTGCCTGCTGCGAGGTGTGCTTCCCCGGCGCGCGGGCGACGAGCGTGCCTGGCATCTCTCCAGTGTCGTCCATGCCGCCGGTGCACCAGGTGCAGGAGGATGGACACCCAAGGCGCGGTGGCCCGGATGACGAAGAGGGGTCCGGGCTGGCGAGTTCGGGGTCACAGCGGGAAATTTGGGACGAGCTCTGGGGCGGGCTTCGTCAGCGACACCCTGATGTTTTATCACCGCAGGAGCATACAGGCTCTGCGCCGCCGCGACTTCCGCCGCTCTCTTTCCAGGCTACAGCAGGGCATGGGGAACGTGGAGATCAGCCTGCGCGTGGACCTGCCCCTGCTGCAGCCAGGCTCCAGGAACCCCGAGAGGAGTACGGCTGGTGCGTTGACGTCGATGACGACGAGGCCGGGGTGCTCCTGGAGCCTGCCGCAGAAACAGAGCTGCGCCGCGGCCTACCTGGCCGTTATGAGGGAAATAGAGAAGGAGAAGATGAAGAGGAAGGACGGCCTCCGACGCCGCCGCCAAAGGATCGCTGAGGGGTTGTCTTGGCCTGTCACGGGTTTTAACCTCTCAGAGAGCATGAAGTAGGAGGTGTGGCAGATGCGAGTCTGCCACTCGAATGATGATGTCGCTTTCTGCGAACGGTGAGGAACCTCTGAGGACGGAGTGGTCTCGGGTTTGCAGGCCACATGATGGACGAAAGGGGGATGCTTGGGAGAAGCGGACTTCTCCGGTTTTCACTCTACAGTCTCTACAGCAGCTATTTTCCTTTCACATTTTCCAGTTCTCTTTTCTTTGTCCTTCATTGGCAGTTTCTTCTGTTTTCTACGGATGCTCGACATACACACACAATGAGCACGGATCTAATGGCAAGGCATGTGGGTGAGGACCCATAGCCGGGGGTTCCGGATGAGGGTGCTCCATGGGATTTTCTTTGCGATGCTTTTCTCTCTCTCTCTCTCTTTTCTTTTACTAGCAGAACAGCTCAATTCAACATTGATGATTCTTTTCTCTAAAACACTGCTTCCGATATCGATTCTATGTGTGTCCAGGATGCCAATATGCAGCCTATTATTTCCAGTGATATGCTGCCTAAAAAAAAGGAAGCATGACGTCCGGCCCTTCCTCGAGGCACCCACGTGCCCTGTGACCCATCTCCAGGCTTCCACGACGGATGTTGCCGATTAAAACAAAATTACCCCTATCATGACGCAAACTCGTATGTATACCAGAGATATAACTTATAGTCAAAATGATGCAAAAAGTGAAAAAAAAAAAAAAAAAGGCTATATACAAAGAAAGAACCCATCACCACCCCTCACACCACACCCGCCAACCCCATGGCTCCCGCCGCCGCGACAGCAGCGACAGCCATCCCCGTACACCTCGCACCGCCGCCGCCATTGGTCGGCGTCGACGTCCGCAGCCCGCTCGCCGAGCTGCTCCTGCCGTTGCCCGTCGCGGAGGAGCTGCTGCTCGTCGTCGGCGTGGGGCAGTTGGCCGTGCAGGGCAGCGCGCTGGTGAAGGGCGTGGGCGCCTTGGACCCCGTGGACGTGGCGCCCGTCTGCGGGAAGGCGGGCGGCTGGGCGGTGGCGCGCGGGTCGGGCAGCTGGCCCGCGGCGTCCGGGTTGAGCACGTTGTCGACGACGTGCAGCACGCCGTTGGCCAGCAGGATGTCGGGCTGGGCGACCTGCGCCGTGTCGACCCACATGTTGTTGCCCGCCTGGGTGACGCGGACGTTGAAGCCGGCGCCCGCGGCGGTGACGAGGGAGCTGCCGTTGAGCAGGGCGGTCGAGGGCAGGACGCGGCCCGGCACGAGGTGGTGCCGGAGCACCTTGCGGAGGGTGTCCGGGTCGAGCGCGGACAGGGCGCCGGCGACGCGCTGGAAGGCGGCGTTGCGCGGCGCGAAGACGGTCACGTTCTCGGTGCTGGCAAACTCCTCGAGCAGCCCGGCCTGGTACACCGCTCCCAGGAAGGCCGTCAGGTCCGGGTAGGCCACGCGGGCGACGACCTCGAGGCGCGGCGGCGGCACGAGCAGCGTGTCGACGACCTGGATGAGCCCGCCGGCGAAGGGGATGTCCCCCTGCTCCAGGGTGCTGCGGGAGCCGTCGCCGGAGGCAAAGACCACCGTGTCGCCCGGCTGGCGGTAGACGATGACGTTCTGCCCGCCCGTGACGTTGGTGTAGGCCTTGTCCTTGAGCAGGGTGGCGGCGAAGTGCGCGGGGCCCTCGGTGGCCTGCTTGGTCGACATGGTGCCCTGGAGGATGTGGTACTCGAGGATGTGCGTCACGAGCGTCTGGTTGTCCGAGTTCCAGCCCTGGTACTTTTTGAAGGCGTCGTTGCTGGGCGCCACGATCTGCGTTTTTGTGTGCGTCAGTTGGGAGGGGGTTTCTTTTGCGAAAGCTGTTTTTTTGCCCTTTTTTGAGAGCTTTTCTCTTGGGACGATTTCCAGCTGCGAGAACTGCGCATCGCTGTGCAGCATCGCCAGCACCTTGCTGGTTCACACGCCCTAGACAGACGACTTGGGATGAAGGAAGAGTCTTACCGTCGTGCCTGCGTAATTCGGCAGTTCCAGCAGGATATCGGGATATTTCTGCGTGCGCGGCACAGGTCAGCACTTCGTTCTCTGAAAGCTATCTACAACAACGCCGCAAATGTGCGCCTTGAAGAAAGACATTGGGCTTCTACACTACGCCCGTTCGCGAAGCGCAAAAAAACTCACCTTGATCAGCTCATAGTAGGTCGACACGTCCTTGTTCCCGGCCAGGACGTCGCCCAGGCCCTGCGCATTGTCGCCGCGCACCACCGCAGCAGGCGCAAGCGCAGCGACGAGGCCCAGCAGCGCTGCTCGGCCCAGCATCGTGAGAGTCTGTCTGAGAGAAAGCTTCTCAAACGGTGCTCTTCTTTTTTCTTGAGGGGGGGCGATTCCCTCTCTCACTCCTGCTCACAGGTGCAGGGAGGCTATCTTCAGTGTCCTCGCGCGCAGCAGCAGCAGCAGCAGCAGTCCGGAACAGCGAATGAACTCTCAGCGGCAGGTCGGTCGGGCGTGCGCGCGGAGGCTTGACTCGCCCGCTGCGGTATATTGTCTATATATAACTGTGAGCCCGCTGGTTCGGTAGCGCCTGCGTTAGACAAGCAATGGCTTCGGCCGAAGGACTGACTCGGGCGATATCCGACTTTGCTCACTAGAGGCGGGAAGGAGAGCAGAGAAGCCGGAGCAGTAAAGGTCGAGACTCGCCCAGCGCCAGAAATAGCAAGAAAAAAACGGAACTAAAGAGTGCCACAGAGCGACGGTCGATCGGGCGGCGTAGTCGCAGAGATTGCCAGCCTCTCGGGGAGGGTATCACGCGGAAGAACACCTTTGGAAGAGCACGAGAACCACAGAGAGGGAAAGAGAGGCTTTCACGACATCGACAATCGCTGTGTCCCGTCTGAACGAGCGGTGGTGGTTCGGCTGCCAAGAAGACGGAGACGGGTCGGCAGTCAACGGCAGCCCCTTCCAATGAGACCCTGGAAGACTCCCCTCATGCAAGGAGTGTGCGTGTGCCCGGTGCTCCATTCAACTGACCTCTCAGCGGTGGTGCCACTTCACTTCAGGTGGTTGGGCCAGCACCCGCAAGCTAATTCTGGCTGTCCTCCCCCCCCACCAACCCACTAACGTTACGAGACGGGCTCAAGGGTCCAAGCTGTGAGAATGTGGACAGTGCACCACAGCGCAAAGGGACCCCTGAGCAGATCATCGCTTCAGTGCGATCGGCACGCCGTGGCGGCTCTCATGCTTGAAGAATCAATCTCTCACTGTCCACAGCCGGTCAATATTACGATAACACGAGAAAAAAAGGGGAGATAACGATGTACAGGGCATCTGTGTAGCCTCTCCTCCCATGGCCCAATAGAGGAGATACCTTGTCTGTCCTGCAATCATCAAAGATAGGGAATCGTTCCTCTTTGCGTGATCCGGAACAGGAGGCGTCTGTCACCGCCCGCCACATGCAGATTGAAAAGAAAAAACGGACGATCGTCCTTCAGCACAGCAGGGGTCAAGGCAGGCAGGCAGGCCAGGCATCGGAAGCACAGCTCGGGGTGGCTGGCACAGCGACACCTCAGCTCCCCCCTGGTCTGGCGATGCACATCATCCGCGAGGCCGCATGTCCAGCACGGCACGGAGTATCGTGCCTCGCTTGCTGTGCTGGCTGTCCAGCTAGGTATCTTTGGTCAGGCAAAGTGACAAGTAACTAGGGTACTTCCGTCATCCCATCTCGCGATGTAGCGATACCTGAGAGCTATTTCCAAACCTGAAACGCCTTCACCTTGCGCAAAGGGTCCCGGGCCAAGGAACAGAAACAAAAGAAACAAGCATGTTTCCTGCTGCTGCTGCAGCTGCTGCAAGATGAACACATCCGGGCCCCAACTCAAACAGACATGTTTCGCTGCCAACACCAGGAAGCCCCCATCCGTGCGTGGGCCACAGCGCCGCGAGGTTGGAATACGAGAAAAAATATCCAAGGTTTTTTTTCTCTTTGCTACCGCTGCTATCTCGCTCGCCCAACCACTTCTCGTTGTTCTATCTGTTCTGCCTGCGGTGAATACGAACCTGCTGCATTAGTTCAAACAGCCCGGAAACCACTGGACGCCAACCAATCTTGGCTCTCTTCATGACGGAGCCGGGAATGCGGCTACATCCAAGGTTGCATTGCTCGCAGGGGGGGTCCTGCTTTGCCGCAACATCACCACCAGTCATCCCAGTGAAGCGCTTGCATATTCCTGTCCCCTCCCCTGTCCCATCACGACCACGACCGGAGATTGGGCCCAACCGCTCATCGCTCGCTCGGCCGGTCGCCATCGGCGCCGGATAGCACGGCCTGGCAGGCAGTGGCTCGCACCAGGGTGCCTGATCGGCGGCTGAGCTTGGCATTTGCTGCCGGGGTGGACACCCCCTGCACCCGGGATAGACTTGTCTGTTCCGTGCCAGTCTACAATCTATGCTACGCCATTCGCCGCTCACAGAGTGTCGCCACGAACCAACAAGATAGCATAGAACACGTATCGCGGCACAAAGATATTGAGCACACGACAGCGCAATAGTGCGCGCGACGGGCAACACTCTTGACAGGGTAGTGGACTCTGTGATACCCCCTACACGCCCTCTAGGGGGTCCTGTGCTACGGACATACCTTCTGTGCTGAAGATAGATATGGCATCTCCACGCGGACCGTGACACGAGGGGCCTTTTGCACTCCGGCGGCACAAGCACGCCGTGGCCCAAGTGTTTGAGATGATGGGGGAGCAGGTAAGGCAGCATAAGCACAAGTTGGCCTGAGCACACCGTCCGTCCCGACCGTCCGAACAATATCTGTCGTGCTGAACGAGATGCCCATGCCGGCACTTGTCCTCGTCCGCTGCAGTGTCGAGCATCTCGTGTGCACAAGTTGTTCAACACCTACACCGGCCTGATCGGCTGATCTTGGCCTCGAGGCTGGCAGAGGCAGATAGATGCCGGGCCGTCATTGCTGCTCGGTGATCGCCCCGAACACAGCAGCCCATTGGGCGCACTGCGTTCTCATCTGAAGAGCCCGCCCGGCCTCAGCTCTTTCGCTTTGCATTGTCGTACAAAAATCTGCCAATAAGGCCCTGATCACCGCCTGATATCGGGAAAGGGGACACCACCTCAACACTTGTCGTCCTCTGTCCCGTAGCCGCAGTTCGACTCAGCCAGTGAGTGACACAGCCAGTGACAGCCATCTTTCGGGCCGTCCGATTGACAGGTCTTCGGAAACACGACGGAGTCAGCCACCGTATAAAAAAAAGAAGCAAAGAAAGAATAGCCGCAGATCATGCAACTTCGACAGGCCTTTACTGATCGATCAGTCGGGAAGAGGTAGAGAGAGCGTGAGAGAGGGCTGGAGGAAAAATGCAGGAAGCAGGGAAGAAAAGAATCACCGAGAGTCCGTCTCCCGGATCAACCAGCCGCGCCCAATATGGGATCCGATAATCAGCCTCCTTTCAGCCCTTGCCTGAATATATTCTCTCGGCCGTGTCTTTGCTTGCCCTGGCCATAGTTGAGAGAATCGCCCGACCTCCTCCTCTCTTCGGTTTATCATCTACCAGAGGCAGGAAGTCGAGAGAGAGTTTCCCTCCGCCCTGCAGAGTGTTTTGTGCCGGGCCATCCCTGCTTAAACGATGTGAGACAGTCCTCCGCTTTTTTTTCTCGACAGAAGGAGACTCAGCCCCCAGTGTCGTTCAGACGATCTCCCATGTCTCACTTGTTTTCATGATCCGCATATGCATGTCCCAGAAGGTAGAACAACGGGCCGGGCCACGTCGGAGGACAGAAGAAATGGAGAACAAAGAGGCTGATCAGTGCGCTGGCAATGCCTTTCTCTGGCCCACCAGCTCGCCTGTTGTTCAGCTGTGTGGTCACACCTGAGATCGTATCTGTCGGTGTAGACGTCGCTCACCGTCACGGAGCCTGCAGAGCATACAAGCCCTAGCTTCCAGTCTCTTCTCAAGGTTGCTCCATCTTGGCCAACATAGGCGAGAGCGGAAAACGCAGGGATGGGTTGTAAGGTAGCGAGAGAAATTCCTGCTGAGCCGAAGAGGCCCCAAAAGTCCTGCACGCAGAGTTGGCGATCACCAGTCTTCTAGAACCCGCAGTTCTCTGCGGCACGGGCGCGCGAAATAGATGAAATGTACCCTGAATGTCCATTCTCACTGGCATGAAAGTCGACTCTTCCTCTGGTCCTTCCCATTGAGCACTCATTTACTTACAAACTCACAGACACTTTGGGGATTCAGCTGATCGTGTATCCCATAAAAACGTAATAGCAATGCAGGATTGAGTTTCAACTAGCCACTCTAGCAAACGAGGGCACCAGTGGCTTACTGTACGCGGAGAAGTCTCCTAATGGCGTGCCTGAATGCGGAATTGACGTGGCCGTCTTATCGCCCAACAACTCTGTTCTTGCTTTGCACTTCTCACTTAGCTCACAGGCGGGGAAGCTAGGCAAGAACGTCCTGTTGGGAGTGTGTGTGAGAGAGAGGGCTGCATCAAAAAGGTAAAAATAGACAAAGAGGCAAAAAGTTCGGGTGTAACACCTGGTTGGTGGGATAGATTGTGCCTGACACCACTGGTTCTGCTCACCGGGAGGTTCGTCCGCCGTCTCCGCCTTGGGGAGGGGGGTTTGCAACGTTGTTATCGGCATCGCGCCCGCGGAGGGAAAGGCTGGAGATGGGGGGAGGACGAATGGGAGGATGCGAACAGCATAGAAGAAAAAGAGTTTAGCTCTGCCAGCCTGTCCTCGGTGGCGTTCCGCGGTGTGTTTTTTAATTTCTCTCACCAAGCGAACAACCTTCGATATTGGACGCACGCCAAGCCCATTAGATAGCAATGGACTGTTCGTGCTATTGAGGGCCGAGACTATGGTCAAATGGACAGCACAGCGCAATGCAGTAGTAGGACTGCAGATCACCAGACCCCGCATCGCGCACACGTACTTGTACATTGCGCCGCCGCATGCAATCAAGCAAGCACTTTCTGCACTTGGTATGGTTCGCTGTTGTGCGTGGTCCTTCAGCTTACGAGCAACACGGCGATATATTGCAATTTCGCCGAATTTGGAACTCCGGCATAAGCAGACATGCGCGGGGTTGCCACCGGGCCTTTACCGACCTTCCTCTGTTTGATGTTCACCTGTGGGTTAGGGAAGAAGAATCAAAGTTAGTGGACCGTGACGCTGACTCCCCCGCCTTTGCTCAATATGGAAAAAATGTGCCTGGACGAATCGTCGCACAGAGGCGAAGGTTGCCGGTGGCTCAGTCGAGGGTCCTGCAACTCGGTTCACGATGCACAGCATGGTGTGCATCCCAGTGGCTCGGGTCCGCTTGCAAATCAAGGAAAGACGCGGTACCTGGAGGTACCGTAAGCAAAAAAGAACAAGATAAAAAGAAATGTGTTCACCAGAAAAGACTCGGTATACGAAAAGAGTATCGTTTTGTCGTTGTCCATCCCGAAATGCAGGTCAACAGTTGTGGCCCGATGAATCCGGAAGACTTTGCAGTAGTTTTGGCCTATCTCGCGTTAACATGGCTTTCAGTGTGATAGTTGAAACTCATATCGACACGGTCGCAGGCCATTGGAAGAGCCCATTTCCCCATTGTTATCATGCTGACGGGCATAGAATGAAGTCTGCCAGCTTTGGAAGCCGGTAGACAGTCAACACATGACCAGGAGCCATTGCACAAGCTGCCAAGCGTCTCAGAGATGGTTGAGGAGATTGTCCCTTTGGCCACGAAGACCCGACTCGGTAACCGGCTTCCAGATTCGGATGAAGTCGAGCCCAACGGATCAAGGTTTTCGATAGCAACCTGCATCAGAATTGCCGGAGTACCACCGCGGCTCTGTGCGCCATGATATCTCTCTCAACATTTGCAGTGCCCCCGAGAGAATAATCTCGAGTATGACGGCATCATCAAGATACACAAGCAAGAACAGCGGGCCTGCCAACCCTAATAAGTGATTCTCAAAGGCCCAATTGGGCCAGGAGGAAAGAGGCGGCGGCTCATCTGCTCCGGACTCTGGCCATCGATCGTGATCTGAACGGCGACCCTATCAACGCGTCGCGTTATCACTTCCAAGCCTAATCGTTCGTATCTGCACGGTTCCCTCCACACGGTTGTGCACTCCAACCTTCAACGTCAACCATCAAACCTTGGAAATAAGTGCCAACTGTGGGCTGCCGTGGCCTGGGACGCCACGCTCCCGGTGCTTGGCCGGCGCATAGACTATTAACACGTGAGTAGGAGGAGTGGAAATGAGCAAATGGCGTTTCATCACGGCGTGCCTGTTTTGCAGGGCAGCCCCCTGTTCTCGAATGGCGTTCTGTCATCGTGAGGGTGTGAGGATGTGCGGTCTAACTTGAATGAGCAGTGTTTCCATCTGGGACCGAATGCAAGAAATAGTGCCTATATGGGTTTAGAGGGATATTTTAGCTGCACAGACAGGGGCCTCATGCAGGAACAGGGGGCAACCGTTAGAGCCCGCATCGACCATCCACACCCTCAAAACCTAGGTGAATTTCGCGACTTCGTACGGTGTCGATACGCACTGTCAACGTGGTCAAAGTGCTTGCAGAAGCGGTGGGTTGGGCCCCGGGATCCAGGTTCCTCCTGCCACCAAAAAAGATGGAGGTGCCTCGCACGTTTTCTCTGGCGGTGGAGACGATTCCACTTGCTCTGAGAGATGGGAAACACATGCTGGAGTTGAGGATGGTGATAGGAGACAAGCTGTCTGTTTTCCGACGGCCGCGAGACCCTGAAACTGACTGCAGGCGGCACTGCGGCACTCAGCACTGGTCCTGAAGAAACAGTCAGATGAAATTGGGAATCCATCATGGACGCGGTTGTGTGGAGTTTAGCTTGATGAGATGGAGAGCCATGGTGGCATGGTGGACAAGTTGCGACACCTCGGACCGGATGTGTCTTGAGCTCCATTAGACCCAAAGTGTTGATCCTGGTTCTGTTGACCTGGCCTGAACCTTGATGCACAGACAACAATGTTCTGGTCAAGGTATTGCCTGGGAGGTGCAAGCTGAAGTGTTGAACCAGGTAGGCAAAGCTTGGCGGAGGGCATTGAGTGCAGATCTGGAGAGCGCTAAATGCTAGAGCTGAATAGGAGCTTCCATTGGGAGGATCTGATAACCGAGAAGCGCCACAAGGGGTGTATTGGTTTGAGGCTGGCGGACATGGAAAGGCGCCTTCGGATGAGCGACTTGCTTGCCCCCGGGACCTGGCGGTAGTGACGGTGGTTCTTGGCCAGTTTGTGGCTTTCAATGTGGAAATGAGAAGTCAGCCTGCGTCCGGTTTCCGGAGCAAGCTCTCGAATCGTCGGGAGAGCAAGAAGAAGAGAATGCATGCCTGGTCTGTCTGCTCTGGCTGGCTGGGTTATTAGCAACAGGATCAATGCATGCCGTGGGCTTATGGATCAGAACGGCTAGTCGTCAGTCACCCGGACGGTCCGCCTTTCGAGGTCCCTCGTGTGCCCGTCATCATATCGTCCATTGATGTCGTCCAGAGCCCGTCAGCTCGTGTGACACCATTGAAAGACTTGGCATCTTCTGTAGTGGGAGCTTGACCGAGGCCAATGGCAAAATTGACTTTGCGTAACAGTTCAGGTTTTCCAAAAATGCATGACTTCGGGAGCCAGGAGCTGGAGTTTTCGGCATGGCAGCTACCTCTACGGGGGGCTATGGGGACCATCAGTGGATCAGCTCAGCGCTGAACCGACGAACCCACCAAGGCCAGGGCCCTAAGAGGAAAAAGGTACGGGGGTACTTGGCCCAGCCAACGTGGTACCCAACGAATACGACCAGGACCATACCAGCCTCGACTCAGGCGTACGCTGGCTCCTTTCCTGGTCAGGACTTGTAAAATCTCCGCCCATCCCATGTCAGTCCTCACCCGAGCCAAGCAAGGTACGGAGTAGGCACAGCCCTGGTCGCCGCCATCTCTTCCGTTCGTCTCCACCGACAGAAAATGGCAAGTCCTTGCCCCCCCCCCCCAATGACGGTGTTTCCTCCACACAAAAGCGGGAAAAAGGTACCTGCCTCTAGGTACAGTACGTACCTACTCTGTACAGGGCGCTTCGCTGCTTCTCTGTTCCTCCCCTCGTTTGCGCCGTAGCATTACAGCACCACTGCTCGCCGCCGTCTCCGCGCTCTGCTACAACCACATGTGGTACTTACCAGACACCAGATCCTCTTCCGAGATCCCACCTACTCTCGCCTGCCATCCTTCACAATCACATTTCCAAACAATCTCTCCCAAGTGGACACTCGGTTTTCTTTTTCTCTTGCAGTGGTACGCTTCAAATCAGCACAAGGATTGAGACGCCCCATTCCTGCCTCTTTCGCTCAACAAGACAGACCCAAAGCAGGAGCAGCAGGGATCTCTTATCGACAGTCGCTCTCTCCCGCTCCACACCCCGACCTTGGGTGAACTACCAAGAGGTAGCCACGACTCAGGTCTCCCACAACGCCGCACCTTGGTCCGCAGTAAAAGGGCAGCAGAGCACCTTGCTCGTAGTTCCCGACTCCCATTCACTTCCTGAGAGCCATCTTCAATTGCACTTTCTGCCCTCTTGTCGCAGCTCTACAGCTCCAGTTCGCGATTCCATCGCAAAGTCCCCTGCTCTTGGTGCCGTCTAATCGTCCAGCCTCTCTGGCCGGACCTCGACTCTATTCTTCCTACGCTCGACTTCCCGTCGGGCTAGGCCACCTTACGCACCTTGCCTCAGCCTCTGTTGCCAGCAGTCATCCGCAGACATGGAGCAGATCAACCATCCCAGCGACTCTTACTACCACGGCCAGCACGGCGGCCGCACCATCGCCGGACAGCCCTCAGCCACCTCCACACAAGTACATACGCCTACGCACAGGCCCGGCACGCCCAGTGATTCGGTGAACAGGAACCCGTTCCAAGATGGTCTCGAGTCGCAAGCCTCCTACCGATCACCACCAGGCACCAATCCTTTCGCCAGCCCCGAAGCGTCGCGACCTGCCTCCAGCTTTGGCTCGTCGAGCGCAGTAGGCGCCCGCCTCGATGAGCAGGCACACCGATACTTCCATAGCAGGAGAGTGCGCAAGGGCGACGTCGAGAAGCCGTGGCTAGACAAGAAGGATCCCAAGGAGAAGTGGGTCACGATATTCCCACTCATCGGCATCTTCATTGGTCTGGCCATCTCGGGCTTCCTCATCTATGATGGCATAAGCAGTGTCGTCAAGCATAACTACCGCCTGGTTCTCGACGAGAACTTCTCCCAGGGTTTGCGGGACGATATCTGGGAGAAGGAGATCCAAGTTGGCGGCTTCGGGTATGTGCTAGTCTCTCAGATTCCGTAATTGGACAAGACTAATCTGACATGTCATAGAAATGGCGAGTTCGAGATGACCACCTCGTCCGAAGAGAACGTCTTCGTTCAAGGAGGCACTCTCTGGATCAAGCCTACACTGCAGGACGCCGAGCTCATGGAGAAGAACAACGTCATCGATCTCCTCGCCGCCGGTACCTGCACGTCGACGCTCTTCAAGGACTGCGTCGCCGCCACCAACCTCACAAACGGCAACAGCTCTGTGGTGCCGCCCACCAAGTCGGCCCGCATCACCACCAAGAAGAGCGCAAGCATCAAGTATGGGCGTGTCGAGGTTACCGCCAAGCTCCCAGCGGGCGATTGGCTGTGGCCCGCCATCTGGATGATGCCTGTTGTGGACACCTACGGCCCCTGGCCCGCGTCTGGTGAGATTGACATTTGCGAGTCCCGTGGCAACAACCACACATATGCTCAGGGTGGCAACAATATTGTCTCTTCTGCCCTTCACTGGGGCCCTGATCCGACTCTGGACGGCTTCTGGCGCACCAACAACAAGCGCGCAGCCCTGCACACCACTTACTCGGCAGGCTTCAACACTTTTGGCCTCGAATGGTCCCAAAAGTACCTCTTTACCTATGTCAACTCGCGCCTGCTCCAGGTTCTCTACACAAACTTCGACACGCCCATGTTCCAGCGTGGAAACTTTCCTGCCATCTCGTCCAACGGCACCCGTATCCAGGACACGTGGTCGCAGACTGGCCGAAAGAACACGCCCTTCGACCAAGCCTTCTACCTGATCCTCAACGTCGCCGTCGGTGGCACCAACGGTTGGTTCGAGGACGGCAAGAGCGGCAAGCCATGGGTCGACGCCAGCCCCAATGCCAAGCTGGACTTCTGGAACGCACGCGACACCTGGTACCCTACTTGGACGCAGCCCCAGATGGAGGTCAGCCGAGTGCAGATTTGGCAGCAGGCCGACGGCAATGAGGAGCTCTAGGCGGCCCTTTCGCTGTCTTGTATTAACGGTCGCTGCTTTCTTTGCATTCATAGACTTTTCAGGGTATACCGATGATAATGTTGGGTAATTCTTCTTTTATATTATATGGGATAGGGTGAGGAAACATAGAGGGCTAAACGACATACGGGCGCGAAAATCTGCAAAACATCGCAGACACTTTGCTCTTACTAGATGTTCTGACATCTACATCCTACGACATTTACATAGTATCTTGCAAAGCATACACACACCATACCACACGGATATATATTGACCGGAAATCAGGGGGTTTCCGAGTCCAATTGGAGTTTATAATTGGGATAGCTGCTGGGAGAATATATGCTACTGTTCATTCTCGAGTTGTGATGCTGTGTTGTGAGTGCAGTTGGTGGTGAAGTCGTTTCCAATACTTGGACGAGGACTGAAGTCGGTGTACCTCTGTACCTTCCTTCGCAGATTGTGAAGAACATTTTGGTCGGGTCTTAGAAAAATCACCATTGTCCGTAAAATCCGTGCACGCGCAATAAGACACGGCTGCTGTTGATCAAGGGATTCTGCAATGTTTTATTCTTTCTTTGATTGCGAAACCCTGTCTTCATAGTAATAAAATACGAAACTATCGGGAACCTCCTGTGATGTCGCGAAATGAGACAAGGGCGCGTGCCGGATGTAATTTTACAAGTGGACAGCGGCACAGCGGGCGAGGGCCCGAGGGGGGGGGGGGGGGAATCAAATCTG